GGCACGAGGAGGCAGCCAGGCAGGTGTTATCTATCTTGGAGGCCTCTTCACACTTGGCATTAGATGTTAGGATTGAGGGTACTTTATGGGGCATGCGGAGGGGATGGTGGGAGATGGAGAATAGGATTTTGGAGTTGCTTTTGGCCTCCAGAATGACCTGCGAGTAGAAAGCAGTTTTAGGTTGCAAGAGGGAGTAGTGTTAGTGTGAAGATGCTCGAGTCACAGCTGTTGGTGAACCATAAGGCTGGTTTTGTGCCATCTGTGCTCAAGCAACCGGGTTTGGGATTTGAGGGAGCAGATATGACTATTGTACCAGGGGGAGAGGGTAGGTTTGGAGATGGTCCTAGATTTCAGGGGACAAGGGAATTGAAGGTGGAGGAGAGGCGATCGTTTAACAGCTTGATGGCTGCATCAGGATTGTTGGGGGTGGAAGGCCAGAGGGAGAGAAGATCCGACGATGAGAGGCCATTTGTGAGGGACTCAGGCGGAAGCTCGGAGGATTGCTTGCGAAATCTAGGCACTCAACTGTAGATTCACTGGATAACTCACTCCAGATCCTTCTCACCCACTTCCTAGCAACATTAGAATTATGTTTCCACGTATAGAGCAAGCTTGGCAAAGGCCTGCAAAACAGCTTCTTGCCCAATGTCTGAAGAATATTTGTGGAATAAGGAAATTTGCCCAACCCTGCCGGGAATTAAACCCAGCTCTCTCACTAGTGAGGCGAGTGCTCTAACCAATAAGCTACAGGACTCCTACTTAAAACTAATCTAAAATAAGGGAAAAATAACTGTAAATACGAGACAGATTCCAGAAGAAAACCTGGAAAAATTTATCTGAAACAGTTCAGAAAAGAATTTCTGATAAAGAACTTACTATTTTAAGAAAATTTTATTCGATGTTGATGTTGCCAAGCATCAGTTGATTGATATGAGACCAGGAGGATGGAAAGAATAAATTATTCTGGTGAAACAAAGAGGTCAATTTCATTATGTTGTGTAAATCATAAATTTTGTAACAAGGTTGTGACTATTAGTAGTAGTTACTCACTCTGATAAAAATTTCTTTGAATTTCTAAAATAATAGCAATAGTTAGTTGCGACCTTGTTCTGAAAATTGCTTCTTAACTTTGCTCCTAATAAAACTAGTTCCTTTTTTCAATTAGGTGACTCGTTTTTTATTGTTGTAATCTACAGTCCACAGGAGCTAAAAGTTGTATTCACATCTGGTGATCAGTGAAAACATTTTTTTATTTGAGACTGGGGAGAGATGTTATGCCTTGTAGAAAGACAGTGACCCAATAAAACTTAAAACATAAAAATAATTGAAGTTGAAAATCTAGAATTAAAAGAAACTTTAAAAGTTTCTGTGGGGTTCTGTAGCTAAGTTGTTAGAGCACTCGCCTCGTAAGCGAGAGACCTAGGTTTGATTCCCAGCAGGGCAAAACCTTGGGCAAGTTTCCTTACTCCACACCCTGATAATAATCCCTCAAAAAAAGGAAACAATAATAATTTGGTCACTTCAATCCACGATTGTTTGTGGAGCATTGCTGTGCGCAATTGGCTGCCGCATTTTGCCCACAAAAATACAGTGAATTCACTCTACAGTATATTCTGTGAAGACGTGAAAAGTGCTATATCAAATACAAGGATTATTATTAAGTTTCTTTAAAACAAAGCAATGATACAATGCTGAATGGGTTCAAGGAAGAAACCATTCTTCAGATGTCCAAGGGGTGTTCAGTCATATACAACTGGACAAAAACAGCTGAAAATATTGTACCTTATGATCCCAAATGACAATTATTACATCACATACACTGCATTTTTTTACCTGTATTTCAGAATACTAATACAAGTGTCCCTTGAAATGCTTAAACAAACAAGTCGAATGTATGTTAATACTTTGTTCTCTTAAGTAGCACTAAACAGACTCAGGCTTAATAGTCAAGCTTGGAGGTAAAATGCCTAAGGCACACAAGCCTGCATATTTCCAGATGTTTAACAATAATGGATTATATTGTATGGATTAAATGTCTTGTCTTTTTCTCATACTTCAGAGTAATGGGAACGTGTTAATCTTCTGTTTTTATTATGAATGCATCAAAATCTGTGTAGCACGGTTCTTCGTGGCGTTGCTTACCGTATAGATGTAAACTGATTGAATCTGGCTAACAATGTGAACTGCTGGATGAGGCTTTGGTACATATATTTGAAAGTTGTATCTGAGGAAAGTCTTATTTTGTTCCGTTGTCTACTTTTCCATTTGATTCGTAGTATTTTCTAGAATTTCCGTTTATTATGCAGTATTATGGGTTCAAGTACTTTGCTTGCAGATATTAAGTCTGCACGTACAGTATTACAGTTGTGTGTGTTCTGCGGTGCGGAGTGGCTGTCGCAGAGCTCCCTCTAGTGACATGTTTTTGATGGTGTCCTCGACTTGGTTCTGAATTCGTGCTTCTCCTCCAGAGGTGCCATTTTAAACAATAACAGTCATTTTGCATCGATGTAGCAACAATACTTTTGTTTTAGTAAGTATCGATGAGTGCAGCAGCTGATGATTTTTCCGACAATATTTTTTTCAGTACTGTAAGAAGTTCTTGATGTTAGCGAAAGCTTCACAGCTTCCAGCAGTCTTGGTGAGTCACGTCCCAGCTTTGAGAAACCGAAAAGCAAAGCAACCTGCAGGTTACCAGTAACATCTAATGTATTTCGCTCTCCAGCTTCAATCTTAAACTTATTTCTTCCTCTGTGGTTTGTGTCTTGTTGCATCTGATGCCTTACTACTTATCCCTCTCCCATTCCCCGCAATTTCTTCTCCCTCATGTATGCTATCGCCTATTAGCTATATTAAGCATTTTGTTTACTTTGATAAGGTCCCTCTGAAGCATTCCATTCTAAAGATTAAAAAGCTTAGCATAGCTACTTGTTCCTCACAGCTAAATACTAATATTGAGGGTGAACCTCATTGCTTTCTTCTGTACTGCCTCTAGAACTGAGACAATATTTTGCAATATGGTTAGTAAACATAGGAGATACATATATGAGATCAAATGTACTAAGAGGGTTTCCCTCCACTACCTCCATCCAAGAAGTTGTTCAAGTGTGAGCCTTGGCAAGCTACTCCATAGTAGAGGGCATCAGAGCCTGGCCTCACTTTTCCTCTCCCAGGCGCCACACACAAAAGGCCAGGACAGTGGGACTGAATGGATTGCTCTGAAAGGAGTCAGCAGACATGATGGGCTGAAAGGCCAGGACCAATAAATCCGGATGATTTTACCCTCCCTCCCTAGTCCAAGGAAGACTGGAACCTATTTAGCCTTCCCATGCAGCCCCAGCTGAGACCAGAAAACAGCACAGGCTGGGATTCAAACCAATGGGCCATTAGTCTATAAACTGCATACCTATGTATTACACCATCAGGGTCCTCACCTAATATCTCTGATTTAGACCGATATCCCATTCAGTGACACTGAAATGCAACAATGTCGGTCACGCCCAAAGTCAATGGGATTTTTTGACAATAAATGCTGCACAGTTGGAGTTTTATTTTAGTTTAATTTCACTTTTGTTCTCAAGTTTTGCCCAAGACTGGCAGTAACTGGCTTGTCTTTTCCTCCTTAACCCTGGGAATTTTGCCATTAATTTAGCCTGCCCATGCAGCCTCAGATGAGACTAATAAACTCAGCATGGTCCCACATCCTAGATCAAAAGTGATCACATCTCAAATTGCTGATCACTGTACAAAAAGTAACCTTGTTTCACATGTGCAATTTTTTTCATTTTTAAATACAGGAAATATAGATAATCATCAATTATATCCATAGGATAAATCATTGTTATTTATTTTAAACCTTTCAGACAAGTTAAGTCAAAGACAATTTATAACTGTTACAATACATATACTACATTGTACATATACGGCATTGTACACCAATAAATGTGGTCTTTTATAAAATATACATTAACATACTGCAACACAACAAAGTTTTTTTCTTTAGCTTGGTAACGTGTTATATTAATGTTGCATTTATAGTGTGGAAAGCAAAAACTTTTTTCTCCCAGCAGTGTAAAAATGTCAAAAGAAAGCCTGGTATTATTTCCTGCTCCACAGCACTTTCGTTTTGGAAATGTGCCCTTGACATATTCACAGAACAGTAAAATTGGGCAGTTATTTTTATGGCAATTATTAAAAAGCCTATTGCTTTCAAGGGCTATGAATGGAAAATGGATGAGTGAGCTCAATGTGAATTGTACCCACTGTGATTATACTCCAAGTGATTTCAGGAATACAGCTCTTGCATGACTTTGGTTCTTGGCACTCAATTTATGTTACATGTTTAGCGACAAACTACTGCAATTCACTGCCAATTATATAGTCAAAACACTGCTTTGCAAAAGGTTGAACATTTCTAATAGTTTCTTTGTGATTTAATCCATTCAATTACTTAGATAATATTGCTAGTGAATGAAGTCAAATAGCATTTTAGATAGAAATTGTTATTTTTGTTACTACACAAACGATTATTCAAAATATTATAACTGGAATAAATTAGATAACAATGGAATATGAAGCAATAAACCAGTATAATATTCAACAAGCAATGCAAAAAATATTCGAGCAATGTAACTCCTGTGTAGCAACCTGCAAAACCTACATGACATAAACATTATATTATAATTTTCTCTGGGGAATTCCCTATTTGGCATTCAGTTGTGCGACTTCAAATTCAACGAGAACTTGGGTCTAGTCCAAGGACTCAAGTCTGCATCACGTACAAGCCATTTCCTAAATAAAACACTGTTTATGTTGTCGGCATTTTTGCCAGCAGCTAATTACGGTTATGTTATCTAGAATGCTTTTTAGACAAAATGTATATGCTAATTATGAGATGTACATAGAATATCAAACAAAGATTACAAATGCCTGCAATATATTATTTGCATGTAGCACCCTTTTTTAATCCTTGAGGACATCTCCTTGGATTGGCATTCCCAAATTTAACTTGTAGGATCATTGATGAATTCCATGATTTTAGCAACTAGCTTCTCTTTCTTTTCTCTTGCTTTCACAGGAATTCCACGAAGCTTCAGCCATGAATGGAGAGTTACACTATTAAGTTTAGTCAGCTGCAAAAAGAACACAAATCTTTAAAATCACTTTTACAAGCATTGAATTGTAAAGCAAAATTATAGCCTCACTTGCTTATTAGACTTCCCGCAGCTGAATGCCGACAGGAAGAAAGCCATACTCCTTGGCTTCTATCAACATCTTCTCTGCTGTGGCTCTGCCCTCCTCAACCTCCCTGGCCTACCCTTAAGACCTACTGATAAATTAACCTAGGTGTCAGGTTTGATCCCCATCTGTCATTCCTATCCCACATCCAATTCCTGACCAGGGCTGCTTTCATCCACCTCCCATCACATTTCTCACCTTCAACTGTACCTCACACCCAATGCAGCCAAGGCCCTTGTCTGTGCTTTCGTAATCTCCTGCCTCAATTATTCCAATGCCCTCCTTGCCTGTCTTGCCAGCACCACTATCCACAAAATCAAACTATTTAGGAACTCCGACGCCCATATATTCACGCACTCTACACTTCATTCATTATTCGAACCCCTTCCGTCGGGTTTCCGTGCTGCCCATAGCACAGAAACTGCCCTGGTCAAGGTCACCAATGACATCCTGACCATCTGTGACCAGGGCGCCCTCTACCTCCTCGACCTATCGGCAGCATTCGATATGGTCGACCACACTATCCTCCACCACCGCTTGTCCTCCCACCTAAACCTTCAAGGCCCTGTCCTTGAGTGGTTTAGGTCGTACCTCTCCCACCGTCTTCACTTTGTTTCTACGAATGGCTTTGTGTGGTGTCCCTCAGGGCTCTGTCCTCGGTCCCCTCCTCTTCACCCTCTATATGCTCCCCCTTGGTGACAGCATCCGCAGACATGGGGTTAACTTCCACATGTATGCGGATGACACCCAACTCCACCTTTCCTCCTCTATCCTCAACTCCACGACCACCGATGTCCTGACAGTCTGCCTGTCTGACATCGAGTCCTGGACAAGAAACAACTTTCTTCAGCTCAATGTGCGTAAAACTGAGGCCCTCCTGATTGGCTCACGTCAGCGCCTCCGCACCTCAGGCGCTGACACCATCAGCATCCAAGGCTGCACTCTCCACCTCTCAAAGCCGTCAGGAACCTCGGGGTTCTGTTCGACCCTGAGCTGTCCTTTCTCCTTCATATCCACACCACAACTGGCACCGCCTTCCATCACCTCCGGAACATCGCCAGACTACGGCACTACCTCACCCCTCACGCTGCTGAAACTCTGGTCCACACCTTTATCACCTCAAGGCTGGACTATGGGAACTCTCTCCTCGCCGGCCTTCCCGGCACCTCCCTCCACAAGCTGCAGGTCATTCAGAACTCTGCAGCTCGTGTACTGTCCCGCACCAGGCTTCGCGACCACATCACTCCCACCCTCGCTCGCCTCCACTGGCTCCCCATCCCCCAGAGGATTGATTTCAAGATCCTCATCCTCACCTACAAGGCCATTCACGGCCTTGCTCCCTCCTACCTCTCCAACCTACTATCCCCCTACCTACCTGCCCGTACCCTCCGTTCCTCTGGCTCCGGTCTGCTCCACATCCCCCGCCCCAACCGCCCTACCATCGGTGGTCGGGCCTTCAGCCTCTCAGCCCCCAGGCTCTGGAACTCCATCCCCCAGTGCCTTCGCCGCCTCCTCCCTTTCCTCCTTCAAGGCCGGTCTCAAGACCTTTCTCTTTGACCGAGCCTTCAGCTCCCCTCTCGACTCTCTACCCCCTCCTCGCTCCCTCCCTTCCCTCCCCTCACCTCACCCTGACCATTTCCCCCAATACTCGGGTCCTGACCCAACTGTACAGCGCCTTGGGACATCCTCCCGACGTGAAAGGCGCTCTATAAATGGAATCTTGTTGTTGTTGTTGTTCATATCCCCATCACACCAGTTCTTGTTATGCTTCACTGGCTTCCTATCACAGAACAATCGGCTTCAAGATCCTCACACTCGCCTACAAATTTCTTCATGTCCTAGTATCTCCCTACCTCTCCGACTTGATTATTCCCCACTCCAACACCCGTCCTCCGCTTGGCTAGCTCTAGTCTTCTGCTTGTCTCTTGTTCCCTCCGCTCCACCATCGGCTGCTGTGCAATCAGCTGCTACACCCCGAAACTTTGGAACTTTTTTTCTCTCAATCCCTCTACCTGGCCACAACCTTCCCCTTTTTGAGAACCTTCCTCTTCTACCATTCCTACTGTCACCTCCTCCCTCCTCCCTCCGCCTGGCTCGGTATTAGGCTCTCACACAGTTAAGCCTTCCGAAACCTAGCCCTGCTTGAAAGGTGCTATATAAATGCATATTGTTGTTGTTGTTGAGCAATTCTAACTATTCTAATTCATTGAACTGACCTAGAAGAATTCAATATTCAGCTAAAAGAACTGAAGTACTCAGGCTGCACAATTTTCCTCCAAGTCTTTATCCTCACAGAGGGGTTGAAATTTCACTACATGAACATAGCAGCCATAAAGGAGTTTGGATGACATTGCCATATTTTTATTTGTGCCATATTCCTGTTAGTGAACTTAGTCTCAGAGGCAGCTGACAGTGCAACATGCACAAATAGTTAATGAAACTGACATGACAGGAGAGGATCATAAGCACAATGCCCCCAGTGATATCTGCCTCCACTTCCATACAACTGCAAAGGGACGACTTGTCTGTGGTCCGGCGATATGTTGAGGTAGCAGCAGGAGAGGCTGGTGACCTCTTCCTTTAGCTCTTGGTCTAATTACATACATTATTTTGTATAAAGAGCAGCCAGAGGTTAACAATGTAAGAAAACATGGATTGACTAAAGACCAAGAAGCCATACAGCTCTCTCAAATACCTGATTAGTTTTTGCATGCTGTGCCATATCAACATCCTGGATAACTGGTTTACTCTTTGGTTTCTTTGGATTTGAATTTAATGCTTCAGCCTGTCAATAAAAAATTGTAACCTAATCTATAATTTCAGAAGTAAAAAGTTAAAAAAACACGGTTATGCAATCCAATTTTACCAATTACAGAAATCACTGAATAAAAACTACTGATAACTTTGGTAAATCATTAAATCACTGTTTGAATTTACAAGTCATACAGACTTTTAGAAAGGCTATTTCTCACTGTTCTAATCGACATAACGACCAGCTTTGCACCTTTTTGACTCAGTCATTTTGATGTTACACATTAACTATCAATGAAGATATACACACTTTGCAATCAGAGCCTACAAGAATCACGAGGCCAGTGCATAAAACTGCTTTAAAACATTTTTTGTCTTTAACACTAACCCTTTTTTCATCAAAGTAAGTTGTGTTTGAAGGGAGAATTAAACATGGTTGGTCAGATTTGCAAAGAAACCTGAAAGATTGCTTTCATTGTGCATTAAATAAGAGACTGCAGGGAATCAAATAACCTATTAATGTTAGTCCTTAATGAAGGGCCGATCACATGAAAAATTTCCCATTCAGCACAGATCAACTGAATCAGTGAACCTCCTACACCCTCAGGATATGAATCTGGTTCAAAGATATTTTGATATTAACTAGATTACAAGCTAGAAATCAATGTTCATAAAATACATAAAACATTTTTAATCAACGTCTACAAAGCTCTTCAACTGAGCTTCATTTATCTCAAGTGATTTTAATGTCCTAGTCCTAACAAGCGCTTGACAAATTCAATGAACTCCTGCCTATATTAGGTAGTTCTTTTTCTTAATTGGTCACAGAAGTCAAGATGAAAACTTCACTCCCCTAATGGGTAAAGGCCTGGTGCAGCACTTGGTCATACAGACTAGGCTACAGATATGAATGCCAGTCTGGGTTGAATTAGGTGATCAATGAGAGTAGCATTTGGAGCTACAGTTGACCTCAGTGCTCCCTTGGTTAGGAAGTGGAAAATCAGCCAATTTTTGATGTGCATGTATAGAGATCAGATGTGGACAGGCTTTACTGAGATTTACCCTTGGTTGAATGGCGTAGCAGCACCCAACTGTCAGAAAACAGTCACTCGGATGAACTTCTCAAGGATGACTGCTTCTTGTGATACAATACCCCATTAGTAGGAAAAAGGAATCTATTTCAGGAAAGTAGTGGAATATTAAAATAAGAAAAATGATGAACAAAAGAAAACAAAACTTACTTGGTGCTTCCTTTTTTCAGCTTGTTTCTTATCAGAAACATTTCTTTGTATTGAAGCCTCTAAACTCATACCCCTTCCTTGTTGCAGCGGTCCCTTTAATGTCAGCACACCTGGTGACTGGGAATCAAAACACAACACTTTATCCCCAAGAATAAAATGTACGCACTCTATATGAAAAAATATACAGTTGGAAATATACATAAGATGTAATCATATTGCACCTTCCCCCTCTCAACTCTGCCGCTACCCAAGACTGTTTGTGGGACACTGTTGTGCACAATTGTCTGCCACATTTTACCCACAAAATAGTCAATTCACTTTATAGTGTATCCTGTGAAGCACTTTGAGACATCTTGAAGACGTGATAAGGCCCTATATCAAATGCAAGAATTTTTATTAAATTTATATAAAACTTTAGTTATACTATATTCAGAGTACTGAACACAATTCTGGTTACTATATTACAGAAAGGATTTTGTAGCATTGGAGAGTACAGTGCAGATTTACAGGGATGTTACCAGGGATACGTGAAGACGGCTATCAAGAAAGATTATAAAATGCAAAATACTGCAGATGCTGGAAATCTGAAACAAAAACAGAAGTTGTTGGGAACACTCAGCAGGTCAGGCAGTATCTATAGAAAAAGGAAAATGAGTCAGTGTTTCGTGTCCATGGCCTTTCATCAGAACTGGGGCATGTTGGAGTGAGAGGTTTTTAAGAACTAACAGAGAGGGGAGAGGCAGGGTAAGGAAGACAAAAGAGAAAATGAGGTAGGGGACAGGCAATGATGGGCTAAGGTGTTAATGACACAAAACAATGGGGGTGATTGCAACAAAACAGGTGAAAAGAGGTGTTAATAATGCAAACCAAAGGGGGGAAAATTGCAACAAAACAGGCAGACCAGAGAGAGAAAAGGTGTGTCTGGGACCCAGATGATGTGGTAATGGTCACAGAAGAGGGGGAGGGGTAGGGGGAAGGTGAGCTGTTATGGTCTGAAATTATTGAAATCAATATTGAGGCCAAATGGCTGTAAGGTCCCTAGCAGACAGATGAGGTACTGTTCCTTGAGCTTGCGCTGTGGTTCACTGGAACAGCGTAGGAGACCATGGATGGAGAGGTCAGAGTGGGAGCAAGAGTTGAGGTGGCAAGAAACCGGAAGCTCAGAGTTGTGCTTGCGGATAGAACGGAGGTGTTTGGCAAGTTGGTCACCCAATCTGCCGATCAATCACCCAATCGTCACTCAATCGGCCCTGCAACTCCAAGTAATAAGATCATGGCTGATCTTCTAACCTAATTCCATTTACCTGCCCTATCCCCATATCCCTTAATCCCTCTATCCTTTAGAAATCTATCAACTTCAGTCTTGAATATATTCAAGGACTGAGCATCCACAGCCTTCTGGGGTAGAGAATTCCATAAATTCACTATCCTCTGAGTGAAGAAATGTTTCCTCAACTCAGTTCGAAAAGGCTGACCTTTAATCTTGAGACTATGACCCCTAGTTTTAGATTCTGCAACCAGGGGAAACAGTCTCACGACATCTACCCTGTCAAGACCCTTAAGAATCTTATAGGTTTCTATAAGATCACCTCTAATTCTTCTATATTCTAGAGAATATAGGCCTAGTTTACTCAACATATCCCCATAGGTTAACCCCCTCATCCCAGGAACCAACCTAGTGAATCTATGCTGCACCGCTTCTCAGGCGAGTATGTCCTTTCTTAAATAAGGAGACCAAAACTGCACACAATATTCTAGGTGTGGTCTCACCAAGATTTTATACAACTGCAGCAAGACTTCCCTACTCTTGTACTCTAACCCTTTTGCAACGAACGCCAACATGGCATTAGCCTTCCTTGTTGCTTGCTGTACCTGATACTAACTTTTTGTGACTGTTGTACAAGAACACCCAAATCCCTCTGAACACTAACACTACCTAGTCTCTTCCCCTCTAGAAAATAATCCGCTTTTCTATTTTTACTACCTAGGTGAATAACTTCACTTACCCACGTCATGCTCCACCTGCCACCTTCTTGCCCACTCATTTAGCCTGTCTATTTCCCTTTGCATTCTTCGTGTGTCATCCTCACAGCTTACTCTCCCACCTATCTTCGTATCATCTGCGAATTTAGATATGTTAAGTTCTATTTCCTCATCTAAATTATTGATATAGACTGTAAATAATTGAGGCCCAAGCACTGATCCGTGTGGCACTCCACTAGTCACGTCCTGCCAATCTGAGAAGGACCTGTTTATCCCTAGACCTGTTTATCCTTACTCTCTGTTTTCTTCCTGTTATCCACTCTCCAATCCATGCTAATATATTACCTTTAATACCATGGGCTCTAATCTTATGCAACAGCCTTTTATGTGGCACCTTGTCGAATCCAAATGCAACACATCTACTGGTTTCCCCCTATCTAACCTGCTAGTTACATCCTCAAAAAACTCTAAGATTTGTTAAACAAGATTTCCCTTTCGTAAAGCTATGTTGACTCTGCCTAATCGTGTTACGATTTTCTAAGTACTCCACGACAATGTCCCTAATTAACGACTCTAGAATTTTCCCTACCATCCTGGTTGGTTCCTTAGCATATTGTTCTAGAAGACTATCTCTAATGCATTCTATAAACTCATCCTCTAGTTTACTTTTGCCAATTTGATTTTCCCAGTCTATATGAAGACTGGGAAAACCAGTCCTACGCTATTCCAATGAACCACAACGCAAGCTTGAGGAACAGCACCTCATCTATCTGCTGTATCCTTAATAGCCTCTCCCTCCCAACATGCCCTTTTCTGACAAAGGGTCGTGGGCTCGAAACGTTGATTCACTTTCCTTTCTCCATAGATGCTGCCTGACCTGTTGAGTGTTCCCAGCGTCTTCTGTTTTTGATCAAGAAAAATTAGATAGGTTGGAGCTTTCCACTCTAGAGTTGAGACGATTGAGAGGGGATCAGATAGAGGTTGCGGTTGAAGCAAAGAGCATCAATGCATTTCAGAGAAAACTTGCATAGATGAGGGATAAATGCATACCTACTTGATAGACAGGTAACAGAGAGGGGAATAAGAGGGGTGGAGGCTCATGTGGAGCATAAACACTAGTTAGGGGCACGTGGTCTGTTTCTGTGCCATATAATTCTATTTAACTCTATACCAGAGATTATGAAAAAACATTAACTATTAATGACATCCTCCCAACGTGAAAAGCGCTATATCAAATGCAAGGATTATTATTATTATTATTAACATTCTGCAATATTATTTTAACCATATTCACTAATATTTCCATTAAAATGTAATATGCTTTTAAGAACCAGATATACATATTACAGGACTAACATCTCAGTAGTGTGTGAAAAATAAATTGTGTGAATTTACTTTCTATCATTATGTATTTGCTTTTGTAAAAAAAAGGAAAGAAAACCATATTGAAGAATGAAAACACAGGCAAAATATGTACAGAAATTATATGAAATGGATAAAAGATTTCATCTCACTTTTTTGTGTTGATTTCCTATTAAGGATGTGTTCCCCTTTGAGCAAGATCCTTGAGATGGTTCACTATCAGTCACGTAAACCACTGAATTTGTGCCTCTTGTTGTTGTTGAATTTGTGCCTCCTCTCTGGACACTTATAGTTCCTTGTTGAATTTTTCCAAATGTCTGAAGTGATGTAATTCCAGGTTTCATCATTCCTGTATTTGTGTTTGACTTGCTTTGGGGCATGGATGTCCCTGCATTTGAGTTTTGCATCTGTTTAGTACTTGATTTATCCTTCTTTGGTTTTGTAGCTAACCTTTGCTTTTGTATATTACCAAACCAGATCATTTCTGGCTTGGTTGTGCGTTTCTGTTCCTGGGTATTCTTAAGCTTGCTTATTTCTATGTTTGTGACTAATGAATCTAAAGTTGCCAGTTTTCCTAAAACATGTTTGGCATATTGCTTATTTTTACCTTCATTGATATTTGTATTTCTGAACTGTTTATTTGGTTGCAGCAGTTTGCTTTTAAATATTGGTATAATCATGGGATTTGTTCCATGATTATAAATAGAATTAGCTTGCATCATGTAATTAAAGGTAGTTGAGTTATTGTTTTTTGATTCTGCCTTTTGTGAAGAATTCTGAAGCACCACGCCAGGTTGCTCTGTCAATCTAAATTTGCTTCCATATAGTATCACATCACCCACTGACCCTTGATCCAAACTTGTATGAGAATCTACTTTGTGCTTATTGTCCAAGATGCTGGTCTGAATTTCAGCATTGGGATAAACTGAAGTACAGTTGGTCTGAATTTCAGCATTGGGATAAACTGAAGGACAGTTGCTGACAACATGTCTGACTAAGGGAATTTCTGTTAGAGCAGGCCGCAAGTCAATCTTAGTAGTCAGATTTGGTGGTCTTTTCTGAACTGCCTAATTTATAAACATACAAAGACAATATAATATGGCCATCATAACCCATAGATCGACAACAAAAACATACTTACACATTCACCCACAAAACACACACTTTGCAGTATATCCTGGAAATGCTTGATGTGAAAGGTGCTATACCAAATGAAGGATTATTATTATAATAATACAAATTTAGTTTTTAAAATTTCAATCCCACATTCTTATTCCTTCCACATAACAGTAGTCTTCCATCCTATTTTATTCCAGTCAAAACAAAAGCTGGCCCGAGTCTGCGTGCATCCAACTAAGCACCGAAAATCATAAATACATAAATGCAAAAATGTTAACAGATGTAGTAATTAGTGAAATACAAAATCCAGGTAATCTAAATTGAAGTGCTATTGATATTTTGGGAATATTATTTTTCTGGAATTAGCGAAAGTAATGACTATTGGCCTTAAGAAGCTAATAGTTCATAACATATCTGAAGCATGTCAACTTGCCAACAAATACATGTCTTTTGTTATTGAACAACCAAAGGTTTGCACTCATAAGATAAATATTTTTGATCCCAGACTTAGTTATTACAATGTATCAAAACTATTCTATACAGTCAGATTATCATTTTTCAGGGTTCTTCATCTGCTTTGCCAAATGTATCCTCATATTTTTACCTGTGCAACATTAAATTCATTTGTAGCATAGCAAGGCTTGTTGGTCATCTTTACTGGAAATCCACAGATGTGAAGTAACTCAGTTTTTAGATCAGAGATGAAAGCTGTCAGTACTCCTTCCAAATCTACTCTTGGGAAAAACTGAACAGGCTCACTTCTGATGCAGCAGAAAGGATAGCTGAATTGTTATGTTAAGAAAGAAAATATTTTCTCTTATTTTCTCTACCAATATTTCAAATACTTACAGTAGTTTATTTTACCACATTTCCGGGGAGGGAGGGGAGTGGAGAGAATTTTGTGGGTAACTAGTGTCATTGATGGAAATGGAACAATTTTCCCCCATATTTTATCGGTCCAGATATAACCTGAGTGCCTTGTGGTCCCATGGTTAGTGGATGTACCAGGTTTCCAACAAGGATTGGCTACCTAGCTACATTGGCACACAAGACGCAGGAAACCGGCCAGTCAGCAGCGATCCACTCGAGTGAGAAACATTTGTAAGAGCCATTGGGCTGATTGTCTTGCTTCCTGTCTGTACTCCAGAACAGGAAGTTAGGCAGTCAACTGCGACCTAACAATTCAAAAGCAAGACCGGTGGCATTTTTTCTTCCAGACCCATTAGATGTCTAATATTATTGTGGAGTCCTGTAGCTCAGTGGTTAGAGCACTCGCTTTGCAAGTGAGACCTGAGTTCAATTCCAGGCAGAGGGCGAAACCTTGGGCAAGTTTCCTTACTCCACACAGAGCCTAATAATAATCCCTTCAAAACCGAAAACAATAATAAATTGGTCATTTTCAATCTACGACTGTTTGTGGGACATTGCTGTGCGCAATTGGCTGCCGCGTTCGCCCACAAATATACAGTCAATTCACTTTGCAGTATGTTCTGTGAAGCGCTTTGGGACGTCCTCCCGACGTAAAAAGCGCTATATCAAATGCAAGGATTATTATTATTATTATTATTATAATCAAGAAAGCTGCCCTGTGTGTGTGTTTGTCAGCCTGGTGCAGTGGTAGCACTCTTGTCTCTGAGTCAGAAAGTTGTTGGTTCAAACCCCACATTAGGACTTGGAATCACAGAGTCTAAGCCGACACTCCAATGCAGTATTGTGGGTGTATTGCATCGGAGGTGCTGTCCTTCACATGAGACAGTAAACCTACCTGTTCAGGTGGCTGTTAAAAATGTCATGGCACTATTCAAAAAAGAGAAGGGAGTTTCTTCTGGCTAAAAATCCCCAAATACAATTGGTTACTCATTCCACAGCTGTTTGAGGGACATTGCTGTGCAAAACTGGCTGCAATCTTTCGCCTGCAAAATACTCAGTCAAAACCACTTTACAGTATTTTCTGTGAGACATCTCAACAGTGTGATAAGGTGCTATATCAAATGCAAGGATTATTATTATTTATTATTGTAGAATTCACTTCTATTTATCCTAAGTATTAAATGCTTATTACTAAATTTCAAACAATATCAACTTTAATAACAATGCAATTCAGAGTTTACTGGTCATTAAATAGTTGCTATTGCAATAAACCCTACAACAACAATTATACTACATTCCTCTGATTATGTGATACTATAAAAAATTAAAAATAAAGTTCAATACCATGATTTATAACAGTGATCTTTACCTCACAGAGAAACAAAAGTTGTTCAAAGCTCTTATGAAACAATAAAATTATTGTACCTCAGTCAGAAATTCTCACATTTTGGGCTCCTGAACTGCCAGGTTATTCTGATGATGTATGTCACAGGGAAGTCAGGTGTGTTTTTGAAAGCTCCAATTATTTTAATTGAGGTATGTGCTTCATACTCAAACGAATCCAGAAGCCTCGAACTCCGAGGAAGCACAATGCCATTACTAGCAATATCCAGCCTGTATTGTACTTTCCCAGGGATAAGAAGCACCAGTTGGCCTCTAACTCAGTCAAAAGTGCTCCTATTAAACTTAAATTGAGCTGCTTCTGGTCATACATGGCTGTCCCCAAAACGTACTCTTTGTAATCTCAGGTCAGAATTTTTAATGTTTTTGTGAGCAAACCTAGGGTTAAAGCAATACCATCGAGGAGAATAATTTGTTAGGGCGAGTTTCAATCCATAGATTTTAATATTTACCAATTCAATACAATAATAGTGCAATACAAATGTGCATTTATGTGCGCCTTTCACATCCGAAGGATGCTCCAAAGCACTAAATAAATATTGGATGTTGCTAAACAACTGCAAATATAAAGCTATTCCTTTAGCAGTAACAAAGTTGCACAGAACTTTAATTGCTTATCATGAGTGTGATACAAAGCTATTTGCCTTGACATCTTTGGTTTATATTTTCTGTTGACCACAGTTGCAACCTCAGTCTACCATAATATTCGAAAGTCCTGATTGCTAATCTTTGTCATTTCTAAAAATCTAGACTCATAGACAATTGATTGAACTTAATCTTCATAAAATCAAGGATACGTAAATAGTCTCTCTCCTACCAGCTTGAAGTACACTGTGCAGTAGAGTGCATCACTGTCATTAATCTCAGGGAGATTGTAACCATACTAAAAGAGAACACACAATAAACATTATGGTCACCTGAATACAATACCTACTTGATTTAAATGACACCTTGTTGGAATTAAAAGAAAAGGTTCTTTAGATTTAGCTGGCATCATTTTTTTCAAAGAAGATTATACTTCAAATATACAAGGTTAAGCTATGATATAGAACTAAGAAAATGAAAGATATTTGTTCCTTTCTGGGACAATGCAGGGCAATTCTGTTATAATGTAGTGCTTTGGATCCCAAAATGTTAAGACACCTCATTATAACATGTATGTAACACTAAAAGGCCACTGGTCCTGTTTTGGTCGTTGGGTTGCTGCTGACATCACATCTGGTCATTTCTAAAATGCAGCTGACCAGCCAGCTTCCTTTATGCAATTGAAGAAAACTAGCCAGTTTATGCCCGATTTAATCATCCTAGATATAAAATCCTCTTGTCCACATTGTCAAAGGTTGCTACACCTTTGAATTTTTCATCAGCCGAGTATCTGACACACACAGAAATCCATTGCCATTAGTTTTAATTTTCCTTCTCAAATATTTCTCTGATCCTCTGTTAAAAGTTATTATGAATTCTATTTCAACCATTATTTTGGTAGAGAATTTCAAATCCCCATAACTCTGTGTTTATAACATTTCCTAACCTCTCCCTTTGTTTTTTGTGTTACAGTCTGACATTTGTGGCTTGTAGTTACCAATTCAATGATTAGAAATAATTTTCTCCATTTACCTTATCAGTAACTCTCAGTGTTTGGAACACCTCTACCCTGTCTCCTCGCAAAGACTATTTTAAAGTTATCAATTTAACAAGAAAGTTTTAAAACTCAAAATTATAACACAGAAAAAAAGTTTTTTTGTATTATGCAGTAAAAAATACTGTACCCAATACTTTTTTTAATGAGAAGATAAATCTGTCTGTTGCCCTACCATGTTTGTCCAATGTTTCTGAAAATCACCATAGGACTGAAATGGACAGTGCAGGGGAATCTCATGACTGACACTGACAATCTGTCCCTTCTTCATACTATATAAAAAGATAACTAGAAGTGAAAACCTGAACATGCATAATAAGCTTGTTACATTCAGTGATGCAGCATCAGAGAGTAGGTGAAGCCACATCATTTTTTTCACCAAATAATCAGGAGACCTACTGTATCACCGCAATATTTTTAAAAAATTTACCTTTGATAACTTTAAGAAAAAAGTGACATAGGCGACTCTCCTTTATATTAGTGAAATACTAGTGAGTTATTTTAATGGCAAGTGTGAGATAGCGTATATAGAAACATCCATTATTCTGTTTGTACTATTTGTTCAGCACTCAAGACAAGAATTACAATTCAGGTTTTTGTTAAAACTGTAAAGTTGTTTTCTTTACTTCTGAGTGCTAGATTTCAAATTAAGCATAACTTTCAAGAGATTCAAACTCAATAAAAATTACCAATTTTTTTTGTATTCAGTGCAGGATAGATTTACAGGTACTGGTAGATTTACTTAAAATTAAGGGTCAGCCTTTTAGAACAGAGTTGAGGAAACATTTCTTCACTCAGAGGTTAGTGAATTTATGCAATTCACTACCCCAGAAGGCTGTAGATGCTCAGTCTTTGAATATCTTCAGGGCTGAGACTGATAGATTTTTAAAAACTAGAGGGATTAGGGGATATGGGGATAGGGCAGGTAATTAGTTAGGTCAGAAGATCAGCCATGATCTTATCGAATGGCGGGGCAGGCTTGAGGGGCCGAATGGCCTACTCCTGCTCCTAATTCTTATGTTCTTACCAGGGATGAGAGGATTCAATTTTGTTTTGGTCAGCCAGGATATATGTGGAAATCCATCACTACGCTGAAGAGTAACCAAAACAAAATGAGAGTTTAATGTAGTTCACTTATACATGGAAATTTTCATGCAATGGAATGTGCACTCATTGGAGGGACGCATCTTTGCTTACCTTATTCCAGAGAGTAATAGGCTCAGGCTGGCAAGAGAACCCCAGAGTGTGCATTGGGGTATTAGTGGAGCTAACATCACATAGCTTGCCATTGAAAGCACTATCTAGCAAGCTTTCCCATTGCTTATCCAGCAAACACCAACCTACCCGTAAGGGCTTTGACTTGCAGAGTTAATAGGCGATGAGTGGGAAGATTCCCTGCCCCCAGTGACTAGTCTGCCCCTACCAATGAGCCAGGCTAGCTGGGCTGTCATCAGCAATGTCCTGGAGTATTGCGGGCCAGCCTGACTTATAAACTGGACTATGAGATCGCCACAGAAGGATGACCTGATTCTGACAATCCATTGCAAGGTAAGCCATCTTGGAGCCAGTTCAGCTCCAAGCTTTCAGGCTGTGCTTTCAGCCACTACGCCCTGAAACTTTGGAACTCTCTCCCTCAATCCTTCCACCTCTCTCCCTCCTTCCCCATTTATAGATCACATCTGAAGACTTTTCTCTTCAACCGTGCTTATGGTCACCACCTCCTGGCTTGGCGTCAGGTTTAAACGCTCTGTTAAAACCACTATTAAACGCTCTGAGACGCATAAAGAGTGCTATATTAATGCAAGTTGTTGTTGTTGCAAGATTGAAAGAAATGTAATCATGGTATTGAGCTGAATAATCAAGCTACAGCAAGGATTGACAAATGGTTCAGAACCAAACCCTAAATTTAGTTATATGACAAAATTATGTGTTTCCTTTGGGCTGCTAACATTCCAATTGTTAACATTTATCCCATCCAAACATAGGTACTATCAATGAATGAGCTAAGTGACCTTACTTCAATATAACTAATGCTATGACTTTAAAAATATCTATTTAACTTATATTGCCTTTGACTATCATTAATCTTAGTCTTAAAACCATTGTCTTAAAATTTAAGGAAATGCACAATTTTGGAAAAAGTCTTCAATTAAGTCTTAATTTGGAAGCTAGTTTTGTGTAGTTTTTCCAAAGCTTATGAAACAAGTTTCCACTGAATTTGAAATTTTGCAAAATGTTCCAGAATCTTAAAATCTAATGATTTTAATGGTAACATTTCAGGCATCATCTTGTAAACTATGAAATCTGAAAATCCATCTAATTTGTACTTGTTTAAAAAATAATTCTCAACTAAAAATTATTGTAGTGTATTAGTATTACAGTAGGATGTGAAACTACCTGAACATACCTGGGTAACACATAGCACCAGTTGCTGGAGATAAAATGTTTTGGAATTACTGCAAATCTATTGTTGTAGAAATTCTTTAACACTCCTATCGATATGTCAAAGTCTTCAAGCTGCAAAACAATTGTTTTGAATTTTATTGTTAACAATCAAATTCCAAATGGTATATATTTCATAGTTCTAAGATTGGCAGGTGCATCAACCCCAAAAGTTATGTATTTCAACATAAAATACTGATAATAGACAGCAAGTATTCAAAACAATAAATAATAATAATCCTCGCATTTGATTTAGCTCCTGGTTATGTCTTTGAAACGTCTCAAGCCGCTTCACAGAATATACTGCAAGGTGAATTGACTGTATATTTTTGTGGGAGAAACATGGCAGCCAATTGCACACAGCAGTGTCCCGCAAACAGGCGTACATTGAGTGACAAAATTATTTATTTTTGGGGGGAGGATTATTACCCCCAGAAAAGCGATCCACCAAATCGCCTAACAACTGTAACAGAGACAAGTTTTACCCATAACTTGAATTTACATTCAATTCGAAAAGATTCTGCAGATGATCAACTGAAAAAGGATATTGATATACCAATCTGACATAGCATTTTGATACTGACATAACAATTTGATATACCATATATATTATCAAATGCAAATACAAGGATTATACCAATAACCTAAAATGTAGGCTGTAATTTCTATCCAAATTTTCACACATTGGGATTTAATTTACAATGTTTCTTTCCTGATGGGATTTTTCAAGAAGGAATTCTGTTAGAATTTCCAACAACCTGTGGGAACACTACTCCATTTGATAATCATAATAAGAATTATTATAACACCTGATCATGTCGGTGAACTGCCTCAAGCATTTCACAGGATTTACTGTAAGGATAGACTGTCTCTCTCTGGTCATCACAAGGAAATTTCTGTGAGTCAGTGTGAGGTATTTCTGGTTATCAGAGGAGTGAACTCAGTCACTGCCAGACAGTTGGTGGTGGTGGGTGGGGTGGGGGGGGGGGCGCTGTTCTTGAGTGGAATCTAGAAATTTTAGTCTGGAGAAGAGGCGGAAATAGAAAAATAATTAAATATCAGAATGCGTTCACACACTATCACTTGTTCAATAATAGACCAACACTGGAATACGGTTGAGAGCACTAAGAGAATGGTGCTTACAACAGGAGGATGTAACAACAGATAACGAGAAATATAAATAAGCACGGAACAAGAAAAGGCCATTTGACCCATAAAGCCATACTTTCCTCTAACTGAGAAGAATTTACCCTCCCATTCATTTAATCCCATTCTACCCCATTCATTTAACGTTTTGAGTAAATTTCTAAATAAATATCCCTGCGCTATCGTCAAATATACCATATTTGTTTTAGAAAAAATTAATTTCAGTATTTAAAAAGTAAATTTATTAAAGCAAATCTAAGAGAAAATGAATACCTTTGCCAATGGCAGTCGAATAGTAGAGGCCTCTACACTAATACACAGCTGGGTCTCTGAAACATTCAACTCCATAACTGTAATGAAGATTTGGAAGAGCACTTAGTTAACTTATAACTCTGAATTCTAACTTTTGTATTTACTTTTTAAATTTTTCATAAAAGCTGACTCCTTTTGTTCCAATAATTTTAGTCTTATATTTAAAAAAATATTGGGCTATGAACTGTTACAATGAATATTTTACTAACAACAACAACAACAACTTGCATTTATCAAGTATACTAAATGCAGTTAAATAATGAAACAATAAAATCTGGTAAAACAGGACTACTGTCTCATCCACAGCTGGATTAAGACTTTTTTTTATTATGTTGCAGGTTTTTCCAATGACTCAATTGGTAAAACTACTGTCTAACACGAACAACAACAACAAATTACATTTGTATAGCACCTTTCACATCCAGAAGACAACCAAAGGCGCAGGACAGTCAGGGATTTGGACCTGAGCTGGGGGTTGGAATCAGGGGAAGTAGGGGTAGGAGGGGAGCCGAAGGCGCGGTCAAATAGGAGGGTCTTGAGACATGCCTTGAAGGAGGCAAGGGAGGGAGCAAGGCAACAACAACAACAACAACAACAAGATTCCATTTATAAAGCGCCTTTCACGTCAGGAGGACGTCCCAAGGCAAAGGTACTGTAGGATGGAGTTCCAAAGGGTGGGGGCAGGGAGGCTTAAGGCCCGACCGCCGATGGTGGGGCAGGTCGTGTGGGGGTACATAAAGCAGGGCAGAGCCTGCTGAGCGGACAGGTTGATAATAATAATAATCCTTGCATTTGATATAGTGCTTTTCACATCTTCTAGACATCTCAAAGCACTTCACAGAATGTACGTAAAGTGAATTGACTGTAGATTTTGTGGGCGAAACGCAGCAACCAATTGCGCACAACAGGGTCCCACAATTTGAGTGACAAAATTATTATTGTTAGTTTTTTTTTCTTGAGGTATTATTATCAGGCATGTGGAGTAAGAAAACTTTCCCAAGGTTTCATCCTGCTGGGAATCGAACGCAGATCTCTCGCTTACGAGGCGAGTGCTCTAACTACTGAGCTTCAAAACTCCTCCTGCTGATATGGGGTTAGCAGGTCACAGAGGTAGGATGGAGCAAGGCCATGGAGGGCCTTGAAGAAAGGACAAGGATTTTGAACTCTATCCTCTGGGAGATGGGGAGCTGGTGTAGTGAGGGTGATGTTGATAGGGTCACGGAGCCTAGTGCAGGAGAGGACACAAGCTGCAGAGTTCTGGATGATCTGCAGCTTGTGGAGGAAGAGTTGGGAAGGACAAGCATGGAGTTGACATAGTCGAGCCAGATGTGGATATAGACGAGGAAGATGCCAAGTTTGATTCATGGTTTGTTTTGTTGGCTTCTCAGCCACAGTGACAGTAGAGGATCTATATCTGCCCTTTGTGATAGGGACTGGAAATATCAGACAGGGTTCCTGTTCCTATAAAAACAGATATCGGTGAGAACATGCAGCAGGTCAGGCAGCATCTATGGAGAGAGGAAAATGAGTTAACTTTTTAGGTCAATATCCTTTCGTCAGAACTCATGCTCTTTCGTCCTGCTCCTAAGGGGTATCCATGGGCATCCCTTCTGGAAAATCGCAAGTGTAGATCAGAGAGTAAGGTTCATCTGTAATGACACCCTGCAGTCTGTCAACAAACACAGCCTGGACTCATAAATGAAGAATGGCAAATTGGACAACTTAACAGAACATGTAAAGTCATCTACAGTTAGCTAATGCCACAAAGTGTTTGCATTTTGTCAATAGTTTTACCTATATTTACAAAAGATAGAAAACTTTGCATGTGTATGGGTCCTCAACTTCATTTTTTACGCTCCGAATGGAAAATCTTTGTCGAATAAGATGAACTTGCAAACGCATATTTTAAATCGTCATCACAAAGGGAAATATCTGCCTAACTCACCAACAGCATTCTGCCTTTCTGTTTTCCTTAGGAAGTCTTTCCCTAATAAAAACAAGGCAATAATAACAACATTGCAAGTTTATTTATGAAATGCATTGAATGTAATTAATTATATGAATTTCAGATAATGGTTTGCATTTGACTAAAACATTTTCATTTATATTAATTACAGCATTCAGGTGCCAAAGTCCCTTTTAAATGCTATGAAACCAGTGCAACTGTGCACGTACAAATCTTCCAGAGCAACCCAAACTCCTGGGTGCAATATGGGAGATTATTATTGGGAAACACATACTTCAGAATGTAGCATCTCTCCATTTTATCCTGTAGATACTTTGTCCCCACTTAATAATTCAATACATTGTTTAAAATGCTAATCATGCAATCCAAAAGTATTATTTGTGCATGCTGGAATGCAATGATAAGTACTGTATACTGTACCTCAGTATACCTGGACCCTATTTCTTGTGTACATTGCTGACTTTGATTTCAGAACTTAGTACAACATGCTTAAATGTTAAAATAGATAAACAGATTACTAAAAAAGACAAAGTTGAGGTGAACTGTGGAACACGGAAGGCAACCAAAGTTTATAAATGGTGATTGATAAGTTATGCTGACAAGTAATGTTCAATACTGATAAATGCAAGGTACTAGACAAAGGAAATAAAAATAAGAGGCAATATGTAACCTATGATTGGGATAGAACTTGTTAATGATTACCATGTATCAATAAATGACCTGCTTTGTTCCAGTTGGGGCCAAGTTTTGCAATCAGTGTATAGGAAAGACATGTTTGCAGGACAGCAGGTATCACTCTTTGTGGAACATCCATCTGTCATAAAAGAGAAACAACCCTGAATGTTTCAATGCACAGTACAGCCATTAAAACTTGCTTTGTTGAGAAATTGTTTTGCTTAAAATGATAATCTTTGTATTTATACAGCACTTTTCACTATAAAGTACAGTTACTTTGTGTTTTATAGGCAAACATGGCAGCCAATTTGTGCACAGCAATGTCCTACAAACATCCATGAAGTGAATGACTAATTTAATCTGGGGGATATCTGGGCCATGACACTGGGAGAAATTCCCTTCTCGTTTCAAAGAGTTCCAAGAAATCTTTAACATCCACTTTATCGGGCAGATGGGACCTCGATATCTCATTTGAAGGTGACACCTCCAACAATACACCGCACTCCAAGAAGGTATTAGAGTGTCAGCCTGGACTGTGACTGCAACATGTCAGTATTTTAGATGAACTGTTGTAACAGTAACAGTAAGAATTATGCATGGAGCTGCAGGGAGGGCCCAAGCCTGCACTGACCTGTTGCTGAGCACCCTGCAGGTGGAGTCGGCTTCGTGGCAGACCATGTCTATTTGCCAAAGCCCCTCACATGAGGACTTGGATTAAGCACCTGGTGCTGAGTAAACCTGGGATTAGACCTGGACCTTGAGAACATCAAAGTGGCTGGCACATCACATGTCTTGTAAAGGACATAACATTACATGTAGGAGCAGGAGTAGGCCATTCGGCCCTTCGAGCCTGCCCCGCCATTCAATCATGGCTGATCTTCTAATCTAACTCCAGCTAATAACCTGACCCTGCCTTATCCCCATATCCCTTAATCCCTTTTGCAATAAGAAATCTACTTCAGTCTTGAATATGTTCAAGGACTGAGCGTCAACAGCCCTTTGGGGTAGCGAGTTCCATATATTCAGAAGAAGTTCTTCCTCAACTCAGTGTGAAAGGGCTGGCCTCTGATTTTAAGGTTGTGACCCCTGGTTTTAGTTTCTCCAACCAGGGGAAACAATCTCCCACTATCTACTCTTTCATGCCCTTTGATCATCTTATAGGTTTCTATAAGATCCCCTCTAATTCTTCTATATTCTAGAGAATATAGGCCCGAATTGGTCAGCCTATCCTCATAACTCAACCCATTCATCCCTGGTACTAACCTAGTAAATCTACGCTGCACCCCTTCCAAGGCAAGTACATCCTTCCTTAAATGAAGAGACCAAAACTGGACACAGTATTCCAGGTGTGGTCTCACCAGGGCCCTATACAGTTGCAGAAAGACTTCCCTACTCTTATACTCTAATCCTTTCATAATGAATGCTAACATACCGTTCGCCTTCCTAATTGCTGCTGCACCTGCAGACTAACTTTCTGTGATTGGTGTACAAGGACACCGAAGTCCCTCTGGACGCTAACACATTCAACATGGACCTCCCATCACACTGAAGACAGATGAACACACATTCATATATCCAGGGCTTGGAATCCACCTTGATTGGCGAGCAGAGAGGTAAACAACTGCTGCTTATGCTACACACTTCTAATTGGTAGAACGATTTTTCACTGGTAGGAATGTATGACCGAACTGTGGATAGGAAGATAGTTGCAATGCTCTCAACACATTTCATGCTGAGCTGTTCACCAGGAAGTTTGCAAAGAGTACCTGGTACCTGCCAAGCACCTAGTGAGCGCTCAGACCTGCATTTGTCAGATATGAAATGACCAACTGCTGACTATCCTCCTTGAGAGGAGGAGCAGAACTGATTCCGAGACAAAATGCTTGGCAATGGAATATTGGAATCGAGTTCACTCCCTGTGGCGGCTCCGCGGTAGTCTGGTTCCTGAGCTGGGTGTGCTCCTAGTACTTTAGGGCAGTGTTGACATCAGTCGAACCAGCCTGGCAGACATTTCACTGGGAGCGAGGATTCTTCCCAATTGACTTCTGTTAACCCTGCAAGCCAAGTTCCAAATGGTGGTCCCAGCTGCACAAGCAGCTGGAAGTTTGCCGGACAGTTCTTACAACAGAGAGCTGTACAGTTTAGCTGGTTAAACCCCAGCAGTATTTCAACATACACTGTGGGACCACCAAGGCTTACTCTTGCCAACTTGTGCACAATACTCTCTGGAATTAGGTAAGCAGGATGAATCCCTCCGGGGAGAGGGTGCTGATTCCATTCCAAATGTGGGAATTTCAATGGCAATCATGGGACTCTCAGTTTGGTTTGGATACTCTTAAGCATGGTGATGAGTTTCTGCATGTGTCAGACATTCAGTTGACCAAACAAATATACAATTTAGAGTAGTTGCTACAGTTGCATCTGAACTTGTATATCTTTATTATAAAAAGCACACTATTCTCAAAAATACCATAGTCTAATGATAACATACCTTTGCACCATGTTTTTGAATATATGCTTGAATGTTTCCAGTCTTATAAAAGGATATCTAAAATACAAATAAAATACAAATGATTTTAAAACTGTTAGTAAATAACATTCTGATTCCTTACAGCAGGTTTCTTTTGAGTTTACATTTTATGGCGGAAATTCTACACACTGTAAAAAATATATACCTGTACAGTACTACCAAGATGCCAATTGTAGAATTACTTACTAAATTCATACTCACTGGAATTACCACTATAATTTCTTTATCGGCTCCTGGGGAAGCAAGAACTTCTGGATGAAGAAACAACAGTTGCCTGAAAAAATAAGATTGTGCTTAATTTCCTATTTGGCCTCTCACTGCCTTTTGGACAATGGCAGTTTCTATTTGTAATGCACATTACATATGCAATTATATTCAAAAATAATAATTATATTCTCCACAGCAATACTTTTTTGTAAATCCTCTTCTCCTTAAGGTACTGACTAGCATTGGTGTATGGTTCTACAAGACCTGATCACCATTCACCCAAGTAGTCAATCTTTATATATGAGTGCGACACAGTGAAATGTTTTGACTATGGATGGGGGTGAGGTGGGGTGGGGGGAGAAGGATGTCCCAAAGCTCTTCACGGGATTATTGGGAAGTGGAGTAACTGTGTGTTTGTAAGCAAAAGCATCAGCCCAATTGCACACAACAATGCCCCGAAACACTCACAAAGTGAATGACCATTTTTTCATTTGGGGGATTGTTGGCCAGGATACCAGGAGGAGAAACTCCCTCGTCTTTTCAAGTAGTGCCACCTTTAACGTCCACCTGAACAAGTTAACCAGAACCTCATCTGAAGAACGGCATCTCTGACAACGCAACACCTCCCAAACATTGCAACGGAGCGTCAGCCAAGACTATGGGAGTTCAAGTCTCCGCGTGTGACTTGAACCCACCATCTTCTGACTTGGAAGCGAGAGTGCTACCAAACGCTAGTAAGAAATCGTGCGATAAATTTTGATGATTGGAATATACACCTCTGTATAGTTTACATGTCACCAGAGTGTCCTGAGGTTACCTGCACATTATTATTTGTGCACTTCTCACATCAGCACAGTCACAGTTTAAAGTAGCTGTGACACCGCACAATTTTCCAAGGTCCGGGAGAGCGATGAAGAACAAAGACTGAAAACTACTATTTCCCTTCATCTTCCAGAGCTACTAAAACGGTGTCAAATGCAAAAGGGTCAATCTGCAAAACGGAGAGAGAGAAAAAAAGTTAAAAATCTAGTAAACTCAGGAAAACAAATGCAGCCAAGCTTTTAGATTCTTTATTGGACAATGTTATCATGAAGCCGGGATTGCAGACAGATTCTTAACAGACATTAATTAACACCTGAACTTCAGACTGACATTGACTGAAGGACAGACTGACATTGACTGACGGGCGACGCCGCGCGCGGTGACGGTTGGCCGGGCTGCCCCCCCCCCTCACCCCTCGCGCGGTGACGGTTGGCCGGGCTGCCCCCCCCCCTCACCCCTCGCGCGGTGACGGTTGGCCGGGCTGCCCCCCCCCCCCGCACCTCGCGCGGTGACGGTTGGCCGGGCTGCCCCCCCCGCACCTCGCGCGGTGACGGTTGGCCGGGTTGCCCCTCACCCGCGCGCCACAGCCTTTGAAAATGTGGCGCCTGCGCAGAAGTGTGAGTTTGTGTGCCGTTAACGGGTGAGAGAGAGAGAGACAGACAGACAGACATGGAGCAGAGAAGAGGAGCAACTCGGAGCCCGTCATGGAGACAAGGACCCAGCCTGGGGCAGCTCAGAGAGAGGCAGGGGCCAGAGCGACTCAGAGAGAGACAGAAGCTGGAGCAAATTAGAGAGAGACAACATCTGGAGCACATTAGGGAGAGGCAAAGTCTGGAGCTAATTAGGGAGAGGCAACGTCTCGAGCTAATTAGAGAGGGGCAGAGTCTAGAGCAGATTAGAGAGCGACGAAATCTGGAGCAAAGGAGAGAGAGACGGGGTCTGGAGCTCTTCAGAGAGAGACAGAGTCTAGAGCGGCTCCGAGAGAGACAAAATCGAGAGCAAATCAGAGAGAGGCAAAATCTAGAGCGAACGAGAGAGCGGCAAAGTCTAGAGCAAATGAGACAGAGACAGAATCTGGAGCGACTCAAAGAGACACAAAGTCTACAGCAACTCAGAGAGAGACAGAGTCTGGAGCGACTCAGAGAGAAACAGAGTCTAGAGCAAATTAGAGAGCGACGGAGTTTGGAGCAACTCAGAGGGAGTCAGAATCTAGAGCGACTCGGAGAGAGGGCGGATAGGGTGGGAGACGTGAATCAGGCCAGGAGCCTCTTATTCTCTATAAAACAGCGTGTAAAGTTATTGTTCAACTTATGAAACATTTTTAAAAAAAAATAATAATAATAATCCTTGCATTTGATATAGCGCTTTTCACGTCGGGAGGACCTCCCAAAGCGCTTCACAGAACACACTGTAAAGTGAATTGACTATATTTGTGGGCGAACGCGGCAGCCAATTGCGCACAGCAATGTCCCACAAACACTCGTAGATTGAAAATGACCAATTTATTATTGTTTTGTTTTTGGAGGGATTATTATTAGGCTCTGTGTGGAGTAAGGAAACTTGCCCAAGGTTTCGCCCTCTGCCTGGAATTGAACTCAGGTCTCTCACTTGCAAAGCGAGTGCTCTAACCACTGAGCTACAGGACTCCACCCTGTGCCTTGGGAACCTCCTCTCAGTGTAAAAGGTGCTACACAAATGCAATTTGTTGTTGTTATTTTCCAAAATGGACAGCAATGTTTAGAAGAAAGAAGAAATATTTTAAAAGTTGAAAAGATTAGAATAGGTTGAATTTAGTGAAAGCTAAAGTATAACCGAGAGAGTTGGAGGAAAAAGGACAAGAGAAGAAATGCAGGTGAAATATTTAAATGTTTATATTTAAGATTCCTTTTTAATGTATTTTGTAGTTTATGATTAATAAAACTATCCTGATGTTTTAGTATACTGTCTATATTACTGTAATAGGTTTGGGAGAGTCATTGTCAACTGTACATCGGCTAGAAACAGACCTAGTCAACTCATTGATTTTTTTAAAAAGCTAATGCAGTCTAATCATAATAAAAAAAAGTTTTGCCCATAATTGGCTGCTGAATTCACTGACAAAACACACCATTTTATCTATTATCATTCACGGCCTCGCTCCCTCCTACCTCTCCAACCTACTATCCCCCTACCTACCTGCCCGTACCCTCCGTTCCTCTGGCTCCGGTCTGCTCCACGTCCCCCGCCCCAACCGCCCTACCATCGGTGGTCGGGCCTTCAGCCTCTCAGCCCCGAGGCTCTGGAACTCCATCCCCCAGTGCCTTCGCCGCCTCCTCCCTTTCCTCCTTCAAGGCCGGTCTCAAGACCTTTCTCTTTGACCGAGCCTTCAGCTCCCCTCTCGACTCTCTACCCCCTCCTCGCTCCCTCCCTTCCCTCCCCTCACCCTGACCATTTCCCCCCTGCTCGGGTCATGACCCAACTGTGCAGCGCCTTGGGACGTCCTCCCGACGTGAAAGGCGCTTTATAAATGGAATCTTGTTGTTGTTGTTGTTGTATTTGGGCTTGCTGGCCAGGATAGCGGGAGAAAGTCCTGTTTTTCAATAGTGCCATGGGATATATTGTGTTAAGTAGATGGGACCGTGGATTAAAGTTTCATCCAGATATAGGGAATGGATAAACAGGATATGTTTTGGAAGTGGGGTATAGGCTATGGAGATAAACAAAGTAAGAGATATGAGCGGTAAAACAAGTACAGATTGTAGACTGAACAAAAATTGAAAACAATAACAGATAGCACGGTTGCGAAGAGATTTAAAAATGAGCATAAGGATTTTTAAATCAAAGCACAGGTAACCAGTGAACTTTGTCAAGAACATCGCCAATGGACCCGATGAATCTTGTGAGGGTACAACTTGAACCAGAGTACTGGATGAGTTTAATACAGTATATTCTGTGAAGCGCTTTGAGACCTCTGGAAGACGTGATAAGGTGCTACATCAAATGCCAGGATTATTAGCTCAGTGTAGCTCAGTAGTTAGAGCACTTGCCTTGCAAGCGAGACATCTGGGTTCAATTCCAGGCAGGGTGAAACCTTGGGCAAGTTTCCTTACTCCACACGCCTGATAATAATCCCTCCAAAAAAAAACACAATAATAAATAGGTCATTTTCAATCCACGACTGTTTGTGGGACACTGCTGTGCGCAATTGGCTGCCGCGTTTCGCCCTCAAATATGCGGTCAATTTACTTGACAGCATATTCTGTGAAGCGCTTTGAGATGTTTAGCAGCTGTGAAAAGCGCAATAATCAAATGCAAGGATTTGCAAGGATTATTATTATATTATATGAAATGCAAGGATTATTATTGATCGTCTCAAGAATTAAGTTAGGAAGTTCCATCCCTTCAGAGAGAGAGAGAGAGAGAGGAGAGGGCACAATCCATTCCATGGGAGTTCCCATCTGTAGTTTGTACGCCTGGAACTTCTTAACCGGTTTGGATACTCTTGAGCCTTTTTAATGCTTCAGCTAATTTTTCAGACACCGACTTGACCGAAAAAAAAGTCTGTGAGCAAACCATTTGTGTGCCATCCGGTGAGTGGCGGCTCGAGCGAACAATAACAGCGGCGGGAATGGGAACTGAGGGCGGGACAGGCGCTGCAGACGTAGCAATGAAAAACAAGGGGTTGGCATTGCGGATCCCACAGCACTCATTCCGTCTCCGAGCTGTGCACAGCAACATGGCCGACAAGGAGGAGGTGAAGTATTACACACTCAAAGAAGTGGAGCAACACAACAGCTTCGTTAGCAATTGGATCATCATTCATCACAACGTATACGACGTGACCAAGTTTCTCGAGGAGGTATTTTACACTCGGCCACACTGTAATGACTAAGAAATCCTATTTTGTAAAAAGTAGATTTGTTTATTGACTTTGCCCTCTATGAATTAAATGCTTAGGTGGTTTCATGTTCCAGTGTTAATCAATATGTCGACGAGTTAGGGCGTGGGGGAGGAGAGAGGAAGGGAATTATTTTGAACGACTCTGCTTTCTTGCTGGAGAGTACACGTGCTTTTTCTCTGTTACCTGCCGAGAGCAGTGGGAAAAGTCACATCAGATTCTCATTTTCTAATCGAAATTTCTGTTTGCAAATAGCAAAGATATCTACAGGTAATTACAACTTCAGAAACCCTACACTTTGGGGAAAGAGCGCTTGGCAGCCGTATGACATTTGCTGTCTGAAATTGTTCAGTACTTTGTGTGGTTTCGGCTGAATTTGAATTTAACTTTCTGGGTTGTCAGGAGCCAAGTGGGAAGAATTCCTGGTCCCAGTGAAAAGTCTGTCCTGCCAATGAGCCAGTCTGACTGATCTGATATCAGCAGTGCCCTAAAGTACTATAAATCTGTCTGGCTTAAGAATCAGACTCCCGAGACTGCCACAGAGAGCTGACTTGATTCCGACATATTATTGCCAAGCATGTCTGCTGGACTCCAAGAAGGTCCCGCTTAACTCCCCTTTAAGAAGAATGGTTGCTAGTTGATCATTTGACATCCGACAAGCGGAGGTGTGACTCCTCACGAGGTGGATAGCAACTTCCTGCAAATTCTCTAATGAGCACCACAACTCAACATGCAATGCATGAGCATTGGCTCATTCTCCTATCCACAGCTCCTACCTGCTGAACTGTGGTTCGTTCGACTGTTGAAGGTGCGGAGCTTGAGTATCAGCTGCTTACCAATCAAGGTGGATACCAAACCTTGGTTGGAGCATGTTCACAAACCTGGACTCTTGGTAACTCCTCCAAGCAGTTGTTGCCCAGGCCTCAGAATTTTCTCATCAGCTATTCACTGAATGTCTGCCTTCATTGTGGTGGGAGAACCTTTTGTGGTTTGGGGGGGGGAAATTGTCTGACAAAAAAAAATCTGAAAAAAAATCAATTAATATAGTTTCCAAATACAGTAGTTCTAAACGTTTACAACTCATTGAAACTGGGCTAGCATTTGACCTGGAAAACAAGATGTAAGTTCTTGATGGGTCTTTTCAGCTTGGCAAAGATTCAGTTAGATAGTCCCTTGAAGGATGTGTATTTCTCTCTTCATTTTTTTATCCCAACATCCCACCAGAAGTAAAACTATTGACAATTTAGCAAATATTTGAAAGGCCATGTCTTGCTGCTAAGGTGAGCTCAGTCTGTATTTCTTATGGAATTTGGAAGAAAAACGTTTGCTGTTTATTCTTTTACTTCCTCAGTTGAGAGAGAAGAGTAAGGCAAAACAGTCATGTTGTGAGCAATACTCCTTGGCTGACCTACTAGTAAGTGTGCTCGAGCAAGAAAGAACTCTTCTATTCAACGGAACAACTGAAATCCTGGGTAAAATGGAAACTAAATATTGTCTGTGAGAGTCCGGTTGCTCATGCAATTTCACATTTTCAGATCTCTAACTCTTTTACCAACTTGGAACAATCAGTTAGTTTACAACTGAGGTACAGGGAAGGGAACAAAGTCCACTTAGAAAAGTATATGGTGGAATAAACGTATTCTCAATGTGATAATAGTTTTATTCTGCCATATACTTTTCCACAGTGGATGTGGAATGTGACATATGGATATTAATGTGACAGATGGTTGTTTTGTTCGTGATTTTAATCACCTTGTATTTGTAGGGATTGAATAATGAATATTGAATCGTGTCAGATTTATAACTTGTTTTCATTTGACTACCTGCAAGCTTGTGGAGGTTTTAATTCTTGAAAATCTTGGCCATTCATGATAAGCCTTCTTCAGACTGTTGGGGAATCTTGTAATGCTCCCAGCCAGCCTTCAGTTCTTAGCTCTAATCAGTGTGCCAATAGGTGGAAGTTCAAAGGCTTTCACAGTATATGAAAGTATATGACATCCTCCTGATGTGAAAGGCACTTTACAAATGTAATTTTGTTGTTGTATATAGTTTTACACAGTAGAAAAAAAAATGTCAGGCTGGTTGATGATTTAAGCATATGTCCCATCTCATTCCACGATCGAGTTGAACTTCACTAGAACTAAAGAAAGCTAAGGGGTGATCTATTAGAGGACTTCAAGATTCAGAATAGAGGGAAAATAATGATAGATTCTTTCCACTCTGTGAGTGTCAGCAGCGATAGCTACTGACACCCAAACAATTAAAGGGAGGTAAAACAAATTGTTTACCCAGAAGGGGTGACTGCCATTTAACAAATTAATTTAAAAGGGAATTTGATGGATTAATAAAAGGTACGGGGACCTTATACGAGAGTGAGATTTGATTAGGCAGCTCCAATGGAGAAAAACGCCAGAGTAGACTTGATAGGCCAAATGATCTGTTTTTGTCCTGTGACATTCTGTACATCTCTGGTCCTCATTTTACTTCTTTGCTGTGAGGTAGGATTAAATGCTGTGTCCTCTTAATTATATTCAAGATTTATCCAAACGTTATACGTATATAAACCGTTTCCGTATTCAACAATTATTATTTTCGAAACTGGGTGCTTCTGCTTGAGTCCTATAAAAAGGAGAAGACTTGCAAGAACCTCACTTGAGCAGAAAGCCCAGCTGCAGGAGGAGGGCACTGAGTGAGGTGGAACAGAATGAGAATTTTGATAAGGAATTTGGTAAGAGTAAGAATTTGGTGAAGAGGGGGAAAAAGGTGCATAATTATGGTATATATAATAGTTATTAAAATAATATAAAACATGTCTGGGAAAGAGGGAGGGCAGCTGAGATCAGTTGAATGCACAATGTAATGTGTACCATGTGGGAACTCCAGGATGGTTTGTGTGCCCTGGACAAACATGTGTAGGAAGTGCCTCTGGCTGCTTGGTTTCTGAGCTCAAGGAGAGGCTGGTGTCACTACATAGTATACGGGAAGCTGAATTGTTCCTGGATCATTTCAGGAGGTAGTCGCCCCACAGCCACAGAGGGTTCAGAAGGAGAGTGATGACCCGGCATGATAGGAAGAAGGAACGGGCAGTGTAGAAATCTTCTGATAGTGTGGCACTCACAAACTGGTTCTCTGTACTGAATACCGGTCAGGGTGATGACATCTCTGGGGAGGTGAGTCAAAAGCAATGGGGACAAGGGAAGTGTTTCAATGCAACTGTCATTGGGGTCACAATGGTGAAAGGAATAGACAGGCATTTCTGCAACCAAAGACGTGACTCTTGCACGGTATATTGCCTCCGTGGTGCCAGGGTTGAAGACATCATGAAACAGGTGCAAAACGTTTTACAGGAGGAAGGGGAACATCCAGAAGTCATGGTGCACATTGGGATCCATGATGTAGAGAAAAAAGGGGCTGAGATCCCACAGGGAGAGTATTAGAAGCTAGGGAAAAAGCTAAAAATTAGGACCTTAAAGGTGGTGATCTCTGGATTACTCCCAGTGCCTCGTGCAAGTGAGATCAAACGCATGAATACATGGCTGGAGAAATGGTGCAGAAAGGAGGGCTTCAAGCCCCTGGATCATTGGAACCAGTTCTGGGGCAGATCGGTTACACCTGAACAGGGCCGGGACCAATGTCCTCACAGGGATGTTAACTAGTGCTGTGGGGAAGGGTTTAAACTAGTTTCGAGGGTTAAGGGAATCAGGATGTAGCATTAGAGAGGACAAACAAGTTACATAGAGGGCTGGGAGAGACAAATACCAATATAATAAGGAATAGTCCAGAAAAAGGAGGGATAAGATGGGGGAAGAAATGCAGAGCAGGCTCAGTTGGTCTTGGAGTGCATGTGCGTAAATGCATGGAGTGTGTCAAATAAGATTGGTGAGCTGCAGGCTCAAGTTGCGACATGGGATTATGATGTAGTGGCATGAGGGAAAAAAAGGAGAGGGAGTGGTAATATTGATTAAAGACATGGTTAAGGCCCTGGAAAGGGACGATGTACTAGAGGGTCCAAAAACAGAATCTATTTGCTTTGAGTTAAGGAGAAGAAAAGGAGCTGTTACTCTGTTGGGTGTATACTATAGACCACCAAACAGTGGGAAGGAGATAGTGAGCAAATCTGTAAATAGATTTCGGAAAGATGCTAAACCAATAGAGCAGTGATAACGGGGGACTTCAATTATCCTAATATAGACTGGCAAAACAACAGTGTGAAGGGCAAGGAGGGGGAAGGATTCCTGAAATATGTGCAGGATAACTTTCTGGATCAGTGTGTTTCCAACCCAACCAGGAAGGAAGTAATGCTGGATCTAGTTCTCAGGAATGAAGTGGGCAAGTGGAGCAGGTTTCAGTGGGAGAGCATCTGGACAACAGTGATCACAACAGCATTAGGTTTAGAGTACTTATCATAAGGTACAAGGAACCATCACATTATTTATCAAATAATAAATATCTACCCTATCAAATCCCTTTATTATTTTAAAAACTTCAATTAGACCACCCCTCACCTTCTAAACTCAAGGCAATTGAGACCAAGTTTATGCAACCTGTCCTCATCATTTTACTCTTTAAGCCCTGGTATCATTCTGGTGAATCCGTGCTGCACCTCCTCCATAGCCAATATACCCTTCCTCAGGTGCGGTGCCCAAAACTGATCGCAGTACTCCAGATGGGGTCTAACGAAGACTATAAATTGACTATTTAATTTCTTCTCATTTATATTCCACCCCCCTTGAGATAAAGGCAAGTATCCTATTAGCTTTTTTGATAACTTTTTGTACCTATGAACTTGTTTTTAGTGTTTTGTGTAAGTGGATATCCAAATCTCTTTGCTCCTCCACAGTTCTTAGTTTCTCATTATTTAGAAAGTTCTCTTAAGCACGCTGATAGGTTTCCACATGCGTCAGACACTCAGCTGACCAAAAATGAATTAAATATCAACAACAAGATTGCATTTATAGAGCGTCTTTCACGTCGGGAGGACGTCCCAAGGCGCTGGACAGTTGGGTTGGGACCTGAGCATTGGGGGGAAATGATCAGGGAGGGAGCGAGGAGGGGGTAGAGAGTCGGGGGGGGGGGGGTGAAGGCACGGTTGAAGAGAAAGGTCTTGAGATCGGCCTTGAAGGAGGAAAGGGAGGAGGCGGCGAAGGCACTGGGGGATAGAGTTCCAGAGCATTGGGGCTGAGAGGCTGAAGGCCCGACCACCGATGGTAGGGCGGTTGGGGCGGGGGATGTGGACCAGACCGGAGCCAGAGGAACGGAGGGTACGGGCAGGTAGGTTGGGGGATAGTAGGTTGGAGAGGTAGGAGGGAGCGAGGCCGTGAATGGCCTTGTAGGTGAGGATGAGGATCTTGAATTCGATCCTCTGGGGGATGGGGAGCCAGTGGAGGCGAGCGAGGGTGGGAGTGATGTGGTCCCGAAGCCTGGTGCGGGACAGTACACGAGCTGCAGAGTTCTGAATGACCTGCAGCTTGTGGAGGGAGGTGCCGGAATATCCTGCCAGAACTAAATGTCAAGGTTGCCATATAAATGCAGCTACATGGGTGAGGTAGCAGAGGGTTCTCATAAAAAGACAAAAAGGGGTTGAAACACTCAGGGAGAGTAAAATAGCCAAAATAAAGTTATGCAGTAACACGGCCTATAGAAGTACAAGAGAAGTATGAAAGGAAAGATAAACATTGAAGGTTACGGTGCTGTCTCTGCATGACTTGCCCCGATATATGGTAAATTATTATGTCACTGTGCTCTGTGTCTGCTTACATAAACATTGATTTGTAAATCAGTAATTCAGTGGGTGAAACTCGGGACTTTTCAGAGTTCAGTTCACCTATGGTGCTACTTCTGCAAATACAGTCACTCCATTTCATAGAATATCCTGTGAAGCACTTTTGTATGTCTTCCCATTGTGAAAGGCGCTATAACAAATGCAAGGATTATTATTATTACTTCTGAAAGTTGTATTATGTGTACAGTCTTATCCAGATTGTCAGATTAACTTTAATCTGGAACTTGGAATATAATTCTGAATATAATAATAATAATAATCCTTGCATTTGATATAGCGCTTTTCACGTCGGGAGGACGTCCCAAAGCGCTTCACAGAACACACTGTAAAGTGAATTGACTGTATATTTGTGGGCGAACGCGGCAGCCAATTGCGCACAGCAATGTTCCACATACAGGAGTAGATTGAAAATGACCAATTTTATTATTATTTTTGGTTTTGGAGGGATTATTATTAGGCTCTGTGTGGAGTAAGGAAACTTGCCCAAGGTTTCGCCCTGACCTGCCTGAAATTGAACTCAGGTCTCTCACTTGCGAAGCGAGTGCTCTAACCACTGAGCTACAGGACTCCACATAATTTGGATTATTGTACTATTTTATTTGACTCAGCAGTTTACTTTATCTTATCCAAATAAAGAGTCACATTGTGTTCTAAGTTCACTCTGTTTTTAACTAACCTGTTGCAACTGATTTTTCTTTAAACTAAGTGTACAGTGCACTTTTAACCATGATTCAAAATGAAACTCTGACCTTATTTTTACAACTATCTAAAAATTCTTGCCCTCTTCCCTCCCCAAATTGTACTGTAAAGTTAATATAAGATTACAAAGATCAAATATTCTGCACTCTTATAAAATAATGCTAATTATAGCCCAAAGTCATTGACCTTTTATATGCAGAAACAGTAAAGTTATGAAATTGTTATGTGCTTGAGTTCCCGTGCCAGGTTAAAGGGTATTACAACGTTGTAAGCAGGGAGACATTACCGAGCAGAAATTCTACCTGGATCTAGATTTATTCTATTTGGTTGGTGAATGAGATAGTCAATTTGTGCACCGCGGTATTCCAGCACTGTACTAGAGTGTTAGTTCAGGATGTCTTGTGGGGCTTGAACACTCAACCTCCTGACTCTGAGACCCAAGTACAACAAACTGAGCTATGAGGATACCTCAGCTCAGTTTGTAGCATTCTCACCTTTGCGTCAGAACGTTATGGATTCAAGCCCCACATTAGGACTCGTGAGTTCAAAGCCAAGGCTTACATATCCGTGCAACTTCAAAGTTAAATCTGAATTTAGCAATTTGCCAAATTGCTTCAGAAAAAAATAAATCTATACCCAGATGAAATATCTCCCCACTGATGTGCAGTTATTTGTTTACCTACAATATACAGTCACTACATAAAAGAAATTCCCTGTGAAAAAGTTTAAGATGGTTTAATATTATATGCACTGTATCAAATGCAAGGACTCTTTTAATATATATGTTTATATTATTGTTGAAAATAGCTAGATACGTGCTTGACAATTAAAAGGATTCAGTGTTATTAAATGATAAAATAGATCTGTTGAAGGAATCTTTAGGGAAGTGGGATATACCTTGGTTTCATGATTTACTACTATCTAGAAATGTTAATATGTTGCTATACACAAAGGTAGCAGAACAAGTCATGAGTTCAAGCTGTAATGGGAAATTTTAGGATAAAATACAATACAAAATTACATTTGTATAGCGTCTTTCATGTTGGGATGACGTCCAAGGCACTGGACGGTCAGGAATTTGGGCCTGACCGGGGGGGTGGGGTTGGGATCATGGAGGGTAGGAGGGTGACTGAAGGCTCAGTCGAAGAGCAGAGTCTTGAGAAGTGACTTGAAGGAGGCAAGGGAGGGAGCGGGGCAAAGGAATGTGGGATGGAGTTCCAAAGGGTGAGGGCAGAGATGCTGAAGGGCCGACCACCGAATGGGATTGTGGAGCCTGCTGAGTGGAGGGAGAGGACGTGAGAAAGTATTTATTTACATTGAAGGTAATTGACAATCAGAACAGAGTATCAGGAAAGCTGGTTGAGGTCAAGGCACGAGAGTCTTGATGGCTTCGGACATTGCTGTGAGCAAATTGTCTGCGTGTTCGTCTAAAACAGAGTCAGTACATTTTACAATCAATTTTGAGATGTTCTGACATGAAAGGTACTACATCGCATGCAAGGATTACTATTGTTATGACAATAGAGTTGGTATTCTGAATAAATGAAATCAAATGGGCCCAGAGTATTCTTCATCTAAATCTCTCTTATGATGTAATTGCTGTTCTAAGTTCATTTTTAATTAAAAGATTCATTATTCATTTTTGTACTTTACCTTTCAGCATCCGGGTGGTGAAGAAGTACTTAGAGAGCAAGGAGGAGGTGATGCTACAGAAGCCTTTGAAGATGTTGGACATTCCACAGATGCACAAGAGCTACGCAAACAATATATAATAGGAGAGGTTCATCCTGTGAGTGCCATATCCTCACTTGTGATTCTAATGCTGATTTCATTTAATAGGAATAGAAAATGCAAAATTTTAATCTAATTTTATTTGCTCACTGGATAACTGCATGATTCGTTATCCGCATCAGTGCTCAGAAGCAGTCTGGCTGCGATATTGATGAAAATGTTTGATTCCATGCAATGTAACAAGGTTTGTAATTATTTTACTTGAGCAACATGAGGTGGAGGTCCAATAAGTACGTAGGCACACAAACATGCAGAAACCCCGTGAGAGATACACACACATCCATGAGCGTCCACACACACATTTCCATATATACAATTGGGCTGCTTCCAATTAGTGCAGTAGAGGTCTCTCTCTATTGTTTATTGCAAACTAAGTTATATTCTATCTTCCTTGAAATGAGAATTGAAACCATGCAAACGTCACAACTTCAATTTGAACCAAAAGGGCAGAGAGTAAATTCTTTAACACTAAGATTCGTTCCAATTGACATCTAATTCTACATTTCACAATTGGGAATACATGTCCACATAATCTTAAGATTTTAAAGTCAACTGATTATAGAAAACTACATTGTGAGATTTTAAGATTACAACAAGATCAACAACGGCAAGATTACATTTGTATAGCGCCTTTCACGTCGGGAGGACGTCCCAAGGCGCTGGATTACAAAGCGATTTTGCTCCCATTGAATCTAGATATTTTCTCCAGGTGAATGGGTAAGAAAACTTACCAATCAATGAATGACTTTTGGTAATTGCACATGACTAACTGGCTCTGCAGGCAGAAATACACAGCGTTGTCAGTAACTTGAAGCTTTGGCCAAAACACCTAGCAGTATTTACTGCTAGCTGCTTTTCCTTGAGATCTGAAACCAGACATCTACAAGGCTGTCAATTTAGTAAAAAATTATGTATTTTGCTTCTACCAACTAGCTGCTGTGTTCAGGCAGGCGATAATCATTTCCAAGCCCAGTAGAGAGAAGACTTGTTTGCACCAGTCAGGGCTGCTCAGCAGCTAAGACCTGTTCTGATTGAATGCACTATCCAGGTCTCCTCAGGTTGGCTTACCTGATGCCTTCATCTCTCCATAGTGGACATAACTATGGAGAAATTAAGGTATTGAGATCCAAATTGGGTCTCAATGGCTAAATATTCATTGTCAAAGTGACCAGGCTTTCAACATGTGCTATTGTCAAAAGCAAGGACTTAAGTTGTAATGTTTATCTTTCTATTAATCAGGACGACAGGGCTGCTCTTAGAAAGCAAGAGGTGAGTAACAAAAACTTACTTTCTTAGTTTTTTTTGTTAATTCAGGAGTTTATTATCCTCTACCTATTCCAAATAACTGTCTCTTTCTCTCCCCCCACCCCCAAGTAATCCACCCTTGCTACATACTGAGCTGGGCTAACATCTTTGGTCTGCCGTTCACAGGTTAAAATTCAGCTTCTATACCTCTGGCCTCCAAACCTTTCTTCCAAAACCATTTTGCCTTGCTTAGCTATCTTATTGGCTTCAAGAGAACTTGTATATCCTTAACAACCTTATTTCCATTTTGGGTGTGCACCATTGCCATTTATCAAGCACTTTGTTAACCGCTGGAAATATGTATTCAACCCAGTGATTCATAGCTCTATACATAGGTTTAGAATTTCAAAGGAGGAGGTGGGCGACGTAGGGAGGTGCCAGAGAGTGAAGGGATTTAAACACGAGTGTGAGGATCTTGGATTCGATCCGTTCAGTGATGGGGAGCCAGTGGAGCCTGGCCAGAACTGGTGAGATGTGGGTCCGGGTCAGTATGTGGGAAGCAGAGTTCTGAATGAGCTGGATCTTTTGAATAGTGAGTCTGAGGGAGAGCTCAGGGAAGTTGCGTTTAGATTCGCAGAAGTGAAAATATTTACGGGAGCCAAGGAGTATGGCTTCCATCTTGTCCACATTCAGCTGCAGAAAGTTTGCACTCATCCAGGCCCTGATGTCTGCCAGACAAGCTGATAGAAATCGGCGGACTTGGAGTTGGTACTGCAGAAAACAAAGTAGATTTGTGTGTCATCCACACGCATGTGGAAGTTTACCCCGTGTCTGTGGATGACATCACCCAGAGGGAGCATATAGATACAGAAAAGAAGAGGGCTAAAGATAACGCCCTAGGGTACCCTGCAGATGACCAGGCGGGGGAGGGAGGAGAAACCATTTGCCGAGGTGAAATGGAGGGGGTTGGTTAAGTGGGGCTCAAACTACGTGAGTGTGGTTCCACTAAGATGGATGAGGGAGGAGAGGCAGTCGAGGAGGATGGCATGGTCAACCGTGTTGATCGTGGCAGAGAGATCTAGGAGGATGAGGAGGCAGAGGGAGTCCTGGTCACAAATAAAGAAGATGTTGTTTGTGACTTTGACAAGCTCTTTCTCTGTGCTGTGGGCAGGGTGAAAACCTGACTGCAGGGGCTCAAGGAAGGAGTGGAGGTAGAGGTGTGACTGAAGTTGGCCTGCAACAATGCATTCCAGGACTTTTGCAGGTCAACTTTGTTGACCAAACAAATCTTGTGATCTCCCTACTTTCCTAGTTGACATTGCATTCTTGTAATAACGAGATTAACTTCTTAATTTTTCTATCACAGGTTACATCGGTTACCATCTTGGACTCTCAAGCAAGGTAAACAATTTGCCTTTTACCAGTTAACTATGACTTTTTTTCCATTACCTTAATGTATTAATGTGTTCTAGTCTGTATTTTCTCCTCATAAACCTTGATAATGAAACATTGAGTGTTTTGGTGAAGTGCAGTGTTAAGGTGACAGTAAATATGGCTTTCAGTAATTCAAGCTATCAAATTTGCAGAAGTGAATTGTAGATATTGGGGAATAAAATGATTCAGCTCAGTTTTTATACTGAAAGGGAAAAAGACTTGAGCTGCTCAGCTTTGAACAATGGCTGTGGAAATGTGCAATACTCAATTCAAATTTAATTTTTTTAAAAAACTCTAAAAATTAGTTTTCTAATTATGCCTGTCATTGATAATAATAAAATAATAATCCTTGCACTTGATATAGTGTTTTTTCACATTTTTGAGACGTCTCAAAGCGCTTAACAAAATATATTGTAAAGTGAATTGACTGTGTATTTGTGAGCGAAACACGGCAGCCAATTGCGCACCGCAGTGTCCCACAAACAGTCGTGGATTGAGTGACCAAATTATTCTCTTTTTTTTTGAGGGATTATTATCAGACATGTGGAGCAAGGAAACTTGCCCAAGTTATTGCCCTGCCGGCAATCGGACCCAGATCTCTCGCTTGTGAGGCGAGTGCTCTAACCACTGAGCTACAGAACTCCAAACGATAAATTGCTATTAAATTGAAATGCTATTAGATTGTAATTTATTTGACCACAAAATACACAGCACACAGTAAATCATATGAAGCACTTTGAAACAACCTTGTGAAAGGTGCTAAATCAAATGTAAGGATTTAATTTTTTTTTAACTGGATAAAAATGTTGAAGCACCAGTCAAGACAAGCTCCAGTTAACCATTTCTAGGGAAGACATTTTGATGAATGATTCAGCTTCACTATAAGTAATGATTGATCCAGCGTTCAAAGCAGAATTCTCCACATTAACTTTTTTTTAGGGAGGAATCTAACTGCACATAAATTGCTTTTTTAAATTCATAAAGAGTTAAGGAGACTCTTTCTCTGTAAAGTTTTAACTCTGCCTTCTTTCTGTCCTTTATTTTAGTTGGGCAAATTGGATAATCCCAGCAATAGCGGGCATCATTGTGGTCCTAATGTATCGGTATTACGTAGCACAACAGTGAGTGCTGCATGTAGAAGACCTTCAGGGGAGTAACCTTTTGTATAATTTCATACTAATTGCAATCTTACAATCCAGTGATGAAATCCTGATGCTTATCCAGACTTTAAAGGGTTGGGCAAAAGAAATTCCTCTTACTGCTAACCAAAGTGATTTTGACATTGTGCAAGTGCTGTCGAACACAATGCATTTAGCAATCAGAGGAATTCCAGCCCTTATATTTCTAAAGATTAATATGGCAAATTTTTTTGTATTCAACTTGTATATTTTACCAACTGTAATTGTCAGCTTTTATTACTGTAAATTTAATATTTGAATGTTTGAGAAATTACACTAGCTTATTGTCATGATTTGTTATCCTGAAAAGCTACATTATAATATTGTAGGCATGAGCCATTGAGCAAGTCAGAAATTCTCACTTTACACACATATATATAATTATATATATATATATGTATATACCTATTTTCTACAGTTAATTAAATTCTAAGAAGTCAAGACAATGAAAGATTATTTTGTTTGAGGTCACATTTTGCCAGGTGATGGCAATAGTAATGCTGGTTTCAAGCTTGTAATCTTGTTTCATGTCTGAGACACTGCAGCTTGAAGAACACAGAAATGAAAAACAGATTTGTGCTAGCACGCAAATTATGCAATAAATGATTGCTGCTTGTACTGTACTGAGTAATTGAGGATTGGCCAGGTTGCTTAAAGGATGAGAACTCAGAACAAGACGGGTAATTTGCCAATGACAAAACCATTGTTTTTTGGGAGGGAAAAAAATGACTATTCCATTACACTTTCACTCAGGTAACTTTAGACTTTTCTTGATTTCTTGTTGGGTTTTAAAAATCAGTTCGCTGGGGGTGGGCAGAAGTGATGTACTAATGTAATATGCAGTAGTTTATAATAATGTAATATGCAGCAATTATAGATGGAGTCCTGTAGCTCAGTGGTTAGAGCACTCGCTTTGCAAGCGAGAGACCTGAGTTCAATTCCAAGCAGGTCAGGGCGAAACCTTGGGCAAGTTTCCTTACTCCACACACCTAATAATAATCCCTCCAAAACCAAAAACAATAATAAATTGGTCATTTTCAATCTACGACTGTTTGTGGGACATTGCTGTGCGCAATTGGCTGCCGCGTTAGCCCACAAATATACAGTCAATTCACTTTACAGTGTATTCTGTGAAGCGCTTTGGGACGTCCTCCCGATTTGAAAAGCGCTATATCAAATGCAAGGATTATTATTATATGATACCCCACAAAATCTGCTTTGGTGCAATCTCAATGGTGACTTCCTAAAGTTGGATTGCAGTGAAAAGAGACAGGCTGAGATTGGTTGCTAAACGAGTTCCAGTTGGACAGCGGGAGCTGTATCTGGGTAAATGTACAATTCTATTTGTTTTACAAATCACTACTTATTGGACATCTGTACATTGTATTATCCCATCTGGGATTGTTAATTGCTAGCAATTTAAAAAGCTTTAGCAATGTAACAAGAAAGATCCGTCTGAACAGGCACAGATGGACCTTGGTTTTGCATCTCATTCATAGGATGGCATCTCTGATAATGCCATATTCTCAGCACTACTGGAGAGTGCTAGCCTGGAGCGTAAACTCAAAGATCTGATGTGGAGGCTCAAACCTACAGTCTTCTAACTTGGAAGCAAGAGTACTACCCATTGAGGACTTCTGCTGCTGACTGCTGTGTTTTCCTATAAAATACACAATCACTGCACTTTGCTTTGAAATCCTGTGAAACACTTTGCTGTTGTTGGTCTCCTGAAGGAGTGGGTTTATAGATTCAATTAATCTGTCTTTGTGCGGTTACAGGTGCAGTCCACCAGAGGGTAGCAAATGTTTATTCTGTAATTATTAGATGATCCAGTTAAATTTACACAGCGTCTTTCACAGCGGTGCTTTCTGAAGAACTTAAGGCATTATAAAGCCTTTCACAATGCTGGATGAGCACCTTAGCTGGAAGTGGAGCTGAGCAGGAGTGGGGAGGGGAAAGATGATCAAAAGCACTGTCAAAGATGTACGTTTTGAGATGTGGCCTGAGAGAGGAGGGAGAGACTCTCTGGAATGAAGTTTCAGAGAGCAGGGACAGAAAGGCTGAAAGCCCGCTGATCATGGGTGGATAGGATGGAAGACATGAAGCAGGTCAGTCCTCGTAGACCAAAGGGAGCGACTAGGGTCGGCAGTTTTTATTAACATTCCAAACCATGGTGAGGTTGTTAGATACAGGAAAATCCTTCCTTATGCACCTCAAGTATGGGTGTGTTGGGTAGTTTCTTTATCATCACTCACAACAAAACAATACTCCAATCATAGCCCCCCCCCTCCACACACACACACACACACACTGGCACCCTTCCCAGAGCCCCTTTTATACTTTTTGTTTTATTGGTTCTTCTCAACTTGGCCATTGCTCTTAAAGGGATGTCTAATACACAGGATTTCACTGTATAGTGTAGGCAAGCACAAAATACACATTCAAGACATTATCCTTCAGATGAGATGTTAAATTAAGGTGCTGTCGTCCTTTGGATGAGATGTTAAACCAAGGTTCCTGAAGAGAGATCACTTTAAAAATTAAGGACAATTGATAAAAAAAAGAGGAAGATAGGAAATCGAAAAAGATACTGGGAAAAGACCATGTGTGGTTATGGTTGTTGAAATGAATTGCTCGCAGTTGAGACCCAATAAAGTAAATAACTAATAACCGCCGTGCTTTGGAGTACATTCTTATTACATGGTGTCACTTGGATTGAAAAAAACACGAGACATTGAAATAAGCAAAATGAATTCTGGAACAGTGGAGTCATTACATATTGAGGTATGTGCACGTACCACAACCACTGAAGATAATGAGAAACAAGACACAATTAGCACTGATTTGAGTAGGATTTATGGATCTTTGTGGTAACTACAAATTTGCCGCTACAGCCACAAAGACGACAAAATACTGTTCTTGAAGTGTTGTAGAAGAGGCAAAGAAACATTTTTGAGACTAGAGAGATAGAGGATATGATGAATATTATGTGGGGTACAATGTTGTGGACAAATTAGTGTTTTGCGATACGATGATCGTTGAGCAAGTTCAGCAAATGTACAGGCCTAGATAGAAGTAGGGCTGCCAACTCTGGATATTTTCCAGGCAGGGTTGCCAGAAAATAAAATATGTTTGTAGCCCAAAGTCAGCTAAATGCTAGCCCAAAAGTAGCTCAATATTATGCTGCTTAACTAGCTCAAAAGAAGCCCTATAAACGTAATATTTTTATCTTAAGGTATTACAATCACCAGATGCCCTCTAAAGATACTGGAGAAGCTTGAGCTTCCTTGGTTTCAAGCAACAATGAAGGGAAAACCCCAACAATAATCTCCACTTGGTAGAGGGCAAATACTGTTCTGGGAGCCATCACGGAAGGATGAGTGCTTAGGGCAAGGCACCTTCTGCACTGGAGTCAGAAATAGCTCTTAAATTTGGTAGATTGGACGTGGGAGCTTTGGATATCAGCCAATATAGAACATAAGTATTGCTAGGTAAACTCTGATTCCAAGCCGCCAGTGGGCAGATCAACTCCTATGCTCTTGTCCATGTGGTATGTAGACCATCCAGTGGACCAGGAGGAGAGGTGAAGAATCATGAACACCTGCAACCCCATGTAGATGAGAAAAGGAGTCAAAGAAGAAGTATTAAAAATGATCAGATCCCAACAGTGCACAAACACACAGTGTGTGGCTATGGGTAGAAGAGTGAATGCCAATTTAAGTTAGTGTGTTTGAAACTAAGAATGATAATAATAATAATCCTTGCATTTGATATAGCGTTTTTCACGTCTTCTAGACGTCTCGAAGTGCTTCACAGAATATGCTGTAAAGTGAATTGACCGTATATTTGTGGGCGAAACCATCTTCAAAGGAAAAAAGTTTGCAGGCTGTGTGTGGGGTTATCACTGTGTACAGGCTGCGTGTGGGGTTCCCTCTCTGTGTACAGGCTGCGTGTGAGGTTCCCTCTCTGTGTACAGGCTGTGTGTGGGGTTATCACTGTGTACAGGCTGTGTGTGGGGTTCCCTCTCTGTGTACAGGCTGTGTGTGGGGTTCCCTCTCTGTGTACAGGCTGTGTGTGGGGTTCCCTCTCTGTGTACAGGCTGCGTGTGAGGTTCCCTCTCTGTGTACAGGCTGTGTGTGGGGTTCCCTCTCTGTGTACAGGCTGTGTGTGGGGTTCCCTCTCTGTGTACAGGCTGTGTGTGGGGTTCCCTCTCTTGTGTACAGGCTGCGTGTGGGGTTCCCTCTCTGTGTACAGGCTGTGTGTGGGGTTCCCTCTCTGTGTACAGGCTGTGTGTGGGGTTCCCTCTCTGTGTACAGGCTGTGTGTGGGGTTCCCTCTCTGTGTACAGGCTGTGTGTGGGGTTCCCTCTCTGTGTACAGGCTGTGTGTGGGGTTCCCTCTCTGTGTACAGGCTGTGTGTGGAGTTCTCTCTTTTCAAATTGGTCTTGGGGCTGAGACCAGGAGAATTTTCAGTTCACTATCTGCCTCACCCTCTCTCTCTATCAGCCTCTTTTTCTATGTCTTCCTCGATTCTTTCTTAGCTTCGGTCCAAAAAAGAAATAATTGATCCTTCAATCCACGACTGTTAGTGGGACACTGCTGTGCGCAATTGGCTACCTTGTTTTGCCCACAAAATATACAGTAACTACATTTTACAGTATATCCCGTGAAGCGCTTTGAGATGTCTTGAAGACGTGATAAAGTGCTATATCAAATGCAAGGATTATTATTCTCTCTGTGCAGACTGTGTGTGATGTTATCTCTCTCTGTGTACAGGCTGTGTGTGGCGTTATCTCTCTGTGTACACTGTGTGTGTGTGTGTGTGGGGGGGGGGGTATTTCTCTGTGTACACTGTGTGTGTGGGGGGTATGTCTCTGTGTACACTGTATGTTTGGGGGGTATGTCTCTGTGTACACTGTATGTGTGTGGGGGGGGTATGTCTCTGTGTACACTGTGTGTGTGGGGGGTATGTCTCTGTGTACACTGTGTGTGTGTGGGGGGGGTATGTCTCTGTGTACGCTGTGTGTGTGGGGGGTATGTCTCTGTGTACACTGTGTGTGTGGGGGGGTATGTCTCTGTGTACACTGTGTGTGTGTGTGGGGGGGTATGTCTCTGTGTACACTATGTGTGTGGGGGGGGTATGTCTCTGTGTACACTGTGTGTGTGTGTGTGTGGGGGGGGGTATGTCTCTGTGTACACTGTGTGTATGGGGGGTATTTCTCTGTACAGGCGGGGTGTGCGGGGACCTCCCGGCCGCGGGTGGCGCTGTGCGGGGAGGCAGACGTGACGCCGCTCGTGGCTCGAAGCGTTTGGTTGTTTCGGACTCGAACCAACCGCCCCGGCGCGAGGAGCGGCAACAGCGTGTGCGCGAGAGAGACCGTGACATGAGGGAGGTGAGCAGAGCGCGGGCCGTCACCCCATCCCGTCACCCCAGCAACCGGGCACACCCCACCCAGTCTGTGCCCACCTCACCCCACCAGCTCCAGCTCCCCCGCCCGTGCCCACCCCACCACACCAGCTCCCCCGCCCGTGCCCCCCCCCCCCCCCCCCCCCCCCCCCCCCCCCCCCCCCCCCCCCCCCCCCCCCCCCCCCCCCCCCCCCCCCCCCCCCCCCCGCCCCCCCGCCCGTGCCCACCCCACCAGCTCCCCCCCCGTGCCCACCCCACCCCACCAGCTCCCCGCCCGTGCCCACCCCACCAGCTCCCCCGCCCGTGCCCACCCACCAGCTCCCCCGCGCCCGTGCCCACCCACCAGCTCCCCCGCCGTGCCCACCCCCCACCAGCTCCCCCCCGTGCCCACCCCCCACCAGCTCCCCCGCCGTGCCCACCCCACCCAGCTCCCCCGCCCGTGCCCACCCCACCAGCTCCCCCCCGCCGTGCCCACCCACCAGCTCCCCCGCCCGTGCCCACCCCACCAGCTCCAGCCCCCCCGCCCGTGCCCACCCCACCAGCTCCCCCGCCCGTGCCCACCCACCAGCTCCCCCGCCCGTGCCCACCCCACCAGCTCCCCGCCCGTGCCCACCCCACCAGCTCCCCCCGCCTGCCCACCCCACCAGCTCCCCCCCGTGCCCACCCCACCAGCTCCCCCGCCGTGCCCACCCCACCAGCTCCCCCCCCCGTGCCCACCCCACCAGCTCCCCCGCCCGTGCCCACCCCACCAGCTCCCCCGCCCGTGCCCACCCCACCAGCTCCCCCGCCCGTGCCCACCCCACCACACCAGCTCCCCCCGTCTCTGCCCACCCCACCAGCTCCCCCCCCCCCCCCACCAGCTCCCCCCGCCCGTGCCCACCCCACCAGCTCCCCCGCCCGTGCCCACCCCACCAGGTCTCTGTGTAAACGCCTCCACTCGGCAATGAGTGGATTCCTAATCCAGCAGCTGGCGGCTGGGCAACAGTGCTGTGTTTTCTGTATAAACCTAACCAGCATCTGCTTCTTATTTCACCTTTCTTCCCTCTCCTCACACTCCTGCCCCCTCTTTTAAGACATTTGTGAGTTTTATCATTTATGTAAAAAAAAACTATTTAAAAAATGTTTTGAATTGAGTAGACTTGTTGTTATCCATCCACAGCTATGTTTTAAATTTGTTTGTTTTTTTGGAAAAAAAACTTTACTTAATAATTAGACTTGTCAGTTTGGGTGAGAGCGTGCAGCGGGCTGGTAAGATGCAGAAGTGCACCTGTGACTTGAATCAATGCGGGTAAGATCCTGGACTCCAGCTGTATGTATGGAGGTGGGGTCACTCGTAAGGAGCGGAAGTCTTGCTTGTGGAAAGAAAGAAATGCCCTGGTGGATGGTGTTGTGAACCTCCTATGCCACTCGGGTAATATCAGATGGACTTGGACAAGATTACCCGCCAGGACTGGTGTTGGTGGAATTGCGTGTGACACCTGCTGATCCGAAAAGGGAACAAACAAGCTCCTGACACTACTGGGATCGTTATTTCTAATGCAGATAACCTGAGGGCATTTTAGCTCTGTGTTCCCTCCTGACTACAGTTTGATCTCGGGGCACAAACTGATTACCATCAGAGAACCAGAGGGTGGGTGGTATCCAAGAATCAAACTACAGCAAGAATCAACTCCACTCGGAGAGAAGAGAGACATGGTGGAAGGCACTGAGATATTGTATGTGAAAGAAGGAGGTTTTCTCATTTGTGTGAGTGGAAAGTAACGATAAAACACAGATAAAGTTACATGTACGTTTCAGTGCCGGATTGGTATCTAGAAGAGGAAGAGTGCTAATCCCTCCTCAGAAAAATGGCAGCTGGCCAGAGCCTGTCTGATACATCATTAGAGCAGTTCAGTTTCCAGTTAACACTCCCAGCATCGTCCGTCTCCACGAGGCTGCTTTCCCACTTGTGCAAATATTGAAATTCTCAGGGTGGATAACTTAATTATATTTACCTTTGTTAAAATTGCCTTTCACATATGTATCTTGGAATTCTTCTCCCTGTTAACAACAATTTGCATTTATACAGTGCCCTTTATGTAGTAATAATAATAATAATCCTTGCATTTGATATAGCACTTTTCACGTCTTCTAGACGTTTCAAAGCGCTTCACAGAATATACTGTAAAGTGAATTGACTGTATATGTGTGGGCGAAACGCGGCAGCCAATTGTGCACAGCAATGTCCCACATACAGTCGTGGATTGCAAATGACCAACTTATTATTGTCTTGTTTTAGAGGGATTATTATTAGGTGTGTGGAGTAAGGAAACTTGCCCAAGTTTCGTCCTGCCTGGAATTTGACTTTGAAAGTTGACCTTGAGCTGTTTTGCTTTTGGTCACCAGGTGTCTGACACATGTGTAATTCCATCATCATGCTTAAAAGTATCTGAACCAAAGTTCCATGCATGCTACCTACACGTGAAAATTCCTGTCTGGAATGGAATATCTGTTTACCTAATTCCAGAGAGTATTAAGGCAGGTTCTCAAGAGCCAAATCTTGGGGATCCCAGAGTGTACATTGGTGAACTGCTGGAGCTAAAACCAAGTAGCTTGCCATTGATATCACTGTTTGGAAAGTTTTCTGCTATTTTTGTTGTTGACCAGCCTGGCACGGGACCTGGGTTACTGAAGCTCCCCAGATGGTTGACTTAATTCTGATCCGATGCATGTCACCTTGAAACCAGGTCAGCTGCAAGGAAACCTGCTTACCTCCTCTCACTCTCCCCCTTCCCCCCAAGGATAGTCATTTGACATTTGCAGATTTGAGCCCTCATTCCGTGGATGGCAGATACCTGTGCACTTTCTAGTGAGCAGCACAGCTCAGCATGAAATGGATTAGAGAATAACCACCATTTTTCTACCCATAGCACAAACATATGTTCAGAACTCCCTACCCATTGAACAATAGTTCCATCAGTTGGAGGTGCAGAGTTTTAGCAGCAAATGCTTACCTTTCAGCATACCAATGAATAGCTTCCAGCAGCTGTTCCTCCAAGCCTCAGAGTTTCCTCGTCAGGTATCAGGCGGACATCTGCCTTTAATGTAGTGGGAGCATTTTACAGGACAGCTTGTGATGTGCTATCCACCTTGATGTTCATTCGCATGCCAGACTTACGCAGCACCTGTTTCCCAATTCAGGTTCTTATGTGAGGGGCTTTGATAAATAGATGTGCTGGTCAGGAAGCAACACTGCCTCCAGGGTTTCTTAGCAATATTCAAAGCGCTTCACAGGGTTTACTATAAAGTATAGCAACTGTACTTTATAGGTGAATATCCCCTCCTTGTATGGATCTTACATCTTCCAGTCAATACATTTATGGTCCCCTCTTGAGCGATGCAGGACCATAATTCCACTCGGGAAGCGGGAGAGTGCCCACTGAGTGGCTCAGTGTTCAAGATAGCAATTCCAAGAATTGTTGGAAATTCCTGCATTTTTTATTCATAATCCTTTCAAGCAACAAGTAGCTTAAATAGCAGATGGTAGTGCTTCTAATTGAGCAAATATGGCCAATAGCTTTTGTTTTGCAGAATGTATTTCATCCGATGTAACACAAAAAGACCTGACAAAGGTGTTGCAAACTTCACAGACATAAAAACATAAGAAATGCTAGACGAAAAAAGACTGAGGTCCAACTAGTTTGCCTTCCACCTTCCTGACAGTCACATGCACAAATGTCCCAAACTACCTATGTACTATATCCCATAATGCTATTTCCTAAAAGAAAACTATCTAATCTGTATTTGAAAGAATCAACACTTTCTGCTTCAGCCGTCTCCCTAGGGAGCCTGTTCCACAGGTTCACTATTCACTCTGAAATAGTGTTTGTGTAGATTCGTTCTGAATTTACCCCCTTTTTTTCTCAGATTTAAATTGGGCACTAACTAGTTTTGAATGTAATATGCTGTGTAGTCACACTTGTGACTTGGACTGAGCAGCAAACAGTGATGACTTACTTTAGCTCAGATTCTCCAGACTCCACAAATCCACCCAACATCGGCACTGAATGTTGAGGTTATGTGATTTTGTCCTATTCCAGTATTATTAAATAATCACCCAAGATTTTGTCCGCTCTCCGCCTTCCTCTCCTCCCCTCTTCAGGGGGACATACAGGACACTTGATGGGTTATATAAATACATTATATGGTGGGATTTCTTGAAGTTGCTTCTTTGACCCCACAATCACTGGTGGTAGAGCCATGAATTCTAATTCACTTGTGCCTGACTTTATCCTGCTGTACCTCCTCATTAAATCCTCAGCAAATGCTTTATGGTGTGTCTTAAATAAATTGCTGTAAAACAGAATGGGTTTTAAGAAAGAATTTACATTTTTATAGTGGCAATTCCATTAAAATGCCCACAGTAATTGGTGTTGAGTATAGCGACGTTTTTGTAGGCAACATGTCATTTTACACACAGCAAAGTTCCACAAACATCCGTGAAGTGAATGAAGGATCAATTTTATCTGGAGGCTTTTTGACTTAACATCAAGTGCAGTGCTACCGATTGAGCTAGCCTGATATTGGTTTAAGTATAATATATGATTCATATTCATGCAGCTGGATGATACCGTGGATTGATCATGAGTTAGCCTAATTTATTTGGTTGCACGCTTGCCTCTGGGAAGGTTGTAGGTTTGTGTTCACCAATGCTGCTTTACGTTGCAACTCCAGAAAATATGGCCTCCAGGCTGCTAGAAATTGCTTATAGCAAATGGCGTTTTGAATAAGTGCAGACATCTTGTCATGTAAGGAGTTGGCTTCTTGTGTCATGGATTCTGGGAGAGCTTAGTGCTGATAGTCAGTGCCAAAAGTGAAATTAAAGTGCTCCCATGTCCTATCATAGTCACCCCTCATCTTGATCCATACAAACCCAAATTCTGAAGGAAGAAGAGTTCACCTCGGGTTGTTCTGTAAAAGTATTATTTCTCAGTAAAATTGACTTTTCCTGCCTTTTATCAAATTGCAAATTCTATCCAGGCTTGACACACCCATTGACTCTTCAGTGAAACATAACAGCAGCTAGAAAATGATAATGTGTAATTTATATTTTAAAACATCTTATCTCTAGAATTTCCATGCATAGGTGGGCTTATTAGTTTGGTTTGGATACTCTTAAGTATGGTGATGCGTTTCCGCATGTGTCAGATACCCGGCTGACCAAAAAAACCTCAACATTTTTGTCACTTAGCCTGAACTTGTGCTCTTGAAGCCAAACATTATCAGAAACTCCAGAGGTTCTGATAATGCATCACAGCATTGTGGCATACGCTCATTACTTAAATTTATAGACCATTATACTTTTTAATGGTCATTCATAAATCAATACAAAGTTCTTTTGAAATTTTGTACAATAGTCTTAATTTCTTCATTAAGCTCTAACCCTTTGAAACAGTCATGTTTATTATTATTTAAACATAATTCTTTCCTCTAGCATTTTGCTGAACACTGACGTGTCAGAAGGAAGAAAGACATGGCAGTACCCCCTGTAGGTGGGGCAGGAATGCCTGGAGCCTTTACAGGACCACCGGGCCAGGCTGGACGAGAGGTTAACACGGCTTCCCTCTGCCGGATTGGCCAGGAGACTGTGCAAGATATCGTTTCCAGAACTATGGAAATCTTTCAACTTCTTAGGAACATGCAGGTCAGTGACTATATACATATCCACACATACACATAGCTTTGCTTGTTATCGCAGTGCTTTAATGATGCAACATATACAATGATTTTGAAATGTAGAGAAAACCCAGAGATTTTAGGACATTATTGGGAAGTTATTATCTCCTCCTTGCATCATCTCTGTGTTGGAATCAAAACTCGGTGGATGCATTTGCAAGATTGTGGGACTCCTTTCTTGTACAATCCACAAACATTTAAAGTATGTTTGGTGCACCTTTCCACTTCTTAACATATCTTGTTTTTCTGCTGCTCTTTTTGGTCTTTAAGATCCACCATTCTGTGGATCTTCACCATTCACCTAGACTTTCAAGTCCCCAAACATTAAGTATTTGAAACTCTACATTAAGTAAACATGTAAGTGAAAAGATCGCTCTTTGTTGAAAAGCTCATGACTGTTAACCTCACATTGTAACAGCTTGCGGTGATGTATGTCTTCTTATTGGTCAAATCAGTCATGCAAGAGTCACTTATTAGCTAATGTGGTAGTTTAAGGGATCCAGTGATTCTTCAGCACCCACTCAAACTAGATTTTCTAAATGTAGTCTCAGCCTTTTTGATACTAGAGATCTGCTCAATCTTCTTAAAATGTTATAGCCTATTAGAAAATGAGCCGAGTGATAGGTCAGATCATTTGATCTGAATGTTAGCCAGTCGAGTGACTCGATTTGGGATGTAGAATGCCCTGCGAAATAAGTTAGTAAAGGCAGAGTTCATTGTGGGTTTCAGGAGGGAAATACACAGATATATGGAGAATGGGATATGAGAATAGGACAGGGCAGTGGGATTGAAGGAGTTTGAGAATAAGACGGGGCAGTGAGATTGAATGAGCACCTTGCTTGAGAACTGGTGCAGACTTGATTAGCCAAATAGCCGTCTGCACTATAAACCTCTGTGTCCAATGACGAGATCTCTGGTATAGGCCAACAATGTGGTTATCGCATGGGGTTATCACAGACTGGCACTAATTCACAGACTGGGGTGTCAGTCACTTGTTAGTTAATACAGACTAGAATGTGCACCGTCTCCCCAGAAGGACATACCCTAATTACCTAATTATGGAGAGTTTATTGGGTGCATTGGCAAGAGCCAAGGCTCGGGACCCCAGAGTGTACAATGGGGTTCTGCTGGGATTGTAGAGTTGAACCAACTAAAACTGTAAAGCTTGATACTGAAAGCATCATCTGGCTAGCTTCCTGCTACGAGTCCAGCTGAGACCTTTCTACCTCTTGGGGCTTTGGCTTACAGAGCTGATTGGAAAGAATTCCTACTCCAAATGACCAGACCGCCCCTCCAAATTCTACTGATTATCCAGGATGGGCCGTCATCACAGGTGCTCTGGATTCTGTAGACCTGTCTGACAGAACCAGCAGATTACATGATAACACACCGTAGTATAGAGGGGCGCTGTTTATAGCATGGTTGCATTCTAGTACCATGGGTTACTAAAAGTGCTATTCACTTTGGTGCTGACTGACCGATTTTCTGCACATAGTGCACATGCGCAATGCGCAGGATATGACTTCAGCTGTGACCTGACAGCCCAGAAGAGTTCACCAGCATTTAACGCCTCGTTTTAATTCTGGGTCTGACTCAAACCACCGTGTTTTAAAATTCTAATACATTGCATTCATCAAAATTTATATAAAGTTAACTGTGTGATGTTTCGGATGCAGTTGTAGTAGATCTTCTTGTCTTTATTCTTAGATTTATGGAGATGATTGGCAAGCTTTAACATGCATTCTTAGACTTTGCCCAGTAGGGTGCACCAAACCACAATTTAACATTCTGATAATCTGTTTAATTTAAATATATTTTCCATAGAATGGTCTGTAGCGTTGTACAGTCATGAATAATTTATCAATGATTGTATTATGGGCCCATTTCTTTTCTCAACCTTATTAAGATGAGCTACAATCTGTAGTGTTCCACTGTTGAATAAAATTGGTAAGGGCATATCGAATTTGTTGAATAGGGTACCCTGGAAAGCAAAATATGTCAGCAAATTTAAGAAGGAATTAGATGGATCTTTGGCGACTAAATATGAAAGAGAATTTGCCTACAAATATGCAATGGTAATCCTCTGTGAAGTGCTTTGTGATATTTTTAAAGAAATTATTGTAGGATAATGATTGATTTTTCTTTTAAATTTAGGACCTGTCAGATAAACTCCAATCGTTATTTCAGATTCTGTGCATTCCTCTAAGACTGTTGTGAAAAGATTGAGAGAGATTAGTATGTGAATGGTCCAAGATGGGCTGTTTACTGCAACAACCCAGTGCTTTGGAGCAGCAAAGTTCAGCATGGAGGGACAAGCACTGAAATCTTCCATTATTTGCTTCATGAGCTTTGCCCACTTAAAAACAACAGTAACTTTTGAAAACTTGTCATGCCAGCCCCAAGTTTTTTTAAGTTAAAAAAATCTAGTTACAGTTGAACCCTATTTTAAAACACGTAATTACTACGGGGGTTAAATGTTTATTTACCCTACACAAAAATGCAAAATTCATGAGCTCATTCCACTGCTGCTACATGATGCTGGCTAGTGCAGATATTTCGTAAGCACAGTGTACAGCCAGCAAATTGTTTCTCTGCTTATCTGCAGTGAATGCAGAAGCCCTGTTTGGTAATTGTGCTCCATTATAGCGTTGGTTAGGATTTTATAGATTGCAACATCCGCTTTATAATGGAGCTCTACTATACTAATACGCAGCGATCTCAGACAGTGTCTAAGGTGTCTGTTGATTCTCCACTTGTCTCTTGTTTCGCCCACAAAATATACAGTCAATTCACTTTACAGTATATTCTGTGAAGTGCTTTGAGATGTCTTGAAGACATGATAAGGCGCTATATCAAATGCAAGGATTATTATTATTACTGAATTTGAGTGTGTTAGTCATGGTAAAAATATTCCTGTGGTTTCCGTTTGATGTTACCTAGTTACCTGGTGTGAGCACATAGATAATGTTAGCAGAGTTGCAGCCATAGTTTGTCTCACAAAGCCATGAAGCAAAGACTAAAGCAGCCATGGATTAATTTTTAATCCTCCATTGCAGGCCTCCTGTGGCCAGATACATCTTGGCTCAGTAACTGGTGTTAATAGCTGAATAAATCAGTGCATTAACATTGTTTCAACAAATGATAATGACATTTCCATTGCTTACTCTAGGTTTTCATTGAGAATTGGTGGCCATTCCCCAAACCCTGGACCTATCACTGTGGTATCTTTATCATCTTATAAATTGTTATATATTCAGTATCTATGATGTTGCTTTAAAAATCACACTGGAGAATCCTCAGGGATTCCTATTGTGCTAAGTTGACCTGTTGCTTGAAATGAGTGAACTGGTAGCTGTACATATGACTTTATACATCTATTCAATCCTTTAAAAGCCATAGAATTATGTAAAATGTTGTGTTCCTTATGCCCTCCAAGGTTTGAGTTTACAGTACAATACCCAAAATTTTGGCAGTCTGCTTTGTCAATTTATATGTGAGCAAAATACTGTTACGTTTCTGTGTGCAGAGACATGGTGCATATTGTGCTGGTCATCTTAGTTAAGTGTCACAGAGGCCCAGCACGATCCTCTCCATATGTACACTTTTCAAGCAGAGACTGCTGGATTGTGATTGGGAGCAGTATTCCTTGAGAAATATTCCAACGCATAGCCCAGGGATCCTAAGGTTAGCTAACATACAGGCTATGTATGAAAGCTCTTGACTTGTATGACTCATTGCCACTCTGCGGGGTGACTTACTCACTGAGTCGTCAGAATATTTAGATTTTGTTTCATGGAAAAGATCTGGTTATATTAGGATAATGAGAAGTACAAGAACAAGTGTTTGCAGAGTTCCAGGTTTTCAAGGGACAAGTCTGACAAAGGGACAACTTTGTCCCTGTTGCTCTTGCCCTTTCTGAAGCTGCAGCAATGTTCGAAATAATAGTAATGGTTTCATTTGATACAGGGCCTAAAATGTCAAAATAACTTGAAGCACTTCACTGGTAATTGCTCTAAAGTGTACAAACTATATATGGACTGTATCCTTGGCCCAGTGTTCTGCAGTTCTCATAAAATGAATTGCTTTCTAACTGTTTTAATTTCCACTGACTTGCACATTTCAGCTACTGGGCCCTTGGCTGGCAGCATAGAATATACCATGAAATTTGTGTCATTCAACTAGCAGGCATGAAACTCCTTGATTGGGCTGGACTCTAGTGTTGTTTGAATAATCAGGTTACGGGAAGTGAGCTAGCCAGAGGACTTTATGTACTCCCTTTAGCTCATTCAGGTGCTGTTCTCTTCAAGGATGATTGTTATTCCTGGATTGCTACTATCTTTAAGCAAAGGTTATAGTCAATCGATGAGAGTCTTCTTCCATGACACCACAGAGTAGTACACAATCATGCTATTGCATCTTCAACTACTGCCTGCTTGTTGGACATCATAACTGAGCCCAATTCTGTCCTCAGTTGATATTCACACATATGCACTGTCTAACTGGGGTCATTCAACAGCAATCAGGAGTTGGAACCAAGGCTGACATTTTCCAGCTCCCCTTTCCGAGTACAGTTGAGTGTTGAGGGCAGTTGTAATGCTCTAATTGCTTCCCCTGCGAGATCTGTTAACTGAGTACGGAATGAGACTTGTTTCGTTTTGAGTTTTTTTAAGTTCAGACACATACTGTAGCTGGGGTAGAAGGAATTATAGAGTAGGAGTGTCCCTTATGGTAATGTGGGTGCCTTGTCGACCCACAGTTGGTTTGAACGCCTGGACCTGGACTTCAGTGGCAACCTAGCAAACCGTAAGTTGATCGTTTTCCAGTGTGGAAAGCTTCCTACTCAAAGCGGGTATATTAACTTGGTCGGTCGCGACCTGTTATAAAGCAGGTTGGAATATTCTTAATGCAGTAGTGTTATTGGACACTGGGAACCAAAAATGAGAACAAATTCCCAAGAATTATATTCTTAAAAAATAAGAAATTTAAAGGAAAAAAATTACATTTTACTTGCAAGATGTATTCCTTTGTAATCTCTTGCATAAACCACATAATAGTAAAATACACCTATTGATTTTATTCTGCAAAACATTGCCTTGATCGTTGCTTTACCCTAGTTATTGTCATCCTCACCCAGATTGTATGGGTTCTCTTAACTTTGCTGTTAGGTTGGTTTATTTCTTCCCTTAATCCAGGAGGCCAGAGAGAGATAAGTAGATTCAACAGGCAGTGAACAGATGACCTTTATCTTCAAGACTGGGGAGAATTATGATCATTATCTACTTAAAACAAATAACTTATGATTGTAGAATAGTGCCAATTGTCAACTATATCACAAGTAGGTTAATTTCTGCTTTAATCCTTTGATATTTTGAGAACAAAATGTTTCACTAGTTTAAGAATTCTTAAAATCCTTAAGTTTCTACAAAGCCATATACAATGGAATTATTTATAGTCAGAGAAGACAGAACACGCTTGCAAGGCAGAACACGCTGGCTTTTATGTTTTGTGGATTTGGGCATTTAAGGAAAATGTAATGTTGTAAAGTAACATTTGAAATCTCAGCTAATTGCCATAATCCACAACAGAAACATTTGATTTAAATCTTGTTTGTAATCTACACATAGCTGCCATGGCACAATTGCTACTTTGAACACCCAAGCAGACTATTAATCAGTAGTGGTGGGGGAAGGGCCTTGTGCAGAAATTGTGCCGTACAATACTATTTATCTACATTCCAATTGCCCACATGTCTGTCGGTTATAACTGCATTGAAAGTGGTAGTTAGACGTGGAGCTACAAGACATCGGCAAAAGTACAGGTGTGTGCATTTGCAAAGTTAATCACAAGGTTTCTAGGGAGTGTGACTTAACATCACCGTTCAACAAACTTGCATGGCTGTGCAATTTCATGGTTGCTCTGAGTGGGGTTCTTAGCAAGACAGACACCCATTATCTGCCAAGTCATACTGTGTTTTTGCAGATGTATCATGGTGGGTTTCTTGCTTCTTATGGTATTGGATTCTGACTATTATTTCAACTTATATTGTGTGTTTGCGGGCATTCTTCTGATTGATTCCCACTGACGACTCTGCTGCCAATTGGTATCCAGGGCCAACGCCTTCACTGATTGGAATCGTCTCCTCTGATATCCTATGTACTATTTGTCCATACAGATTTCACAGTCTGATCTGATGTTGATGATCATCCACACCCACGCAACAACTTTTATTTATATAGCGCTCTTCACCTGAGGTAGTGCTCGGAGAAATGTATTTTCCTGCAGGCTTCACTCTCTAATGATCAGGAATTTGGAAGCTGGTTGAATTTGTTGTTCTCAATTGTCCAGCAGTTTTTTGGGTCAGTTGGAGCTCCCTAGTTGATATCAGTTAGTTTGCATAGAATATGAATCAAATCTCCAACCTTTCTACAGTGGAGCCTCATATGTGTGGCCCATAAAATCAAACCTATGCTAAAGCAAGGTGTGATAGCAGGTTTCACTGCGCATATGTGCAGCCAGCTGGTTCGCTTACTACATGGCTTACAACCAACAACATCACTTCCTATTTCCTGCCTGTGAGTTGAGAAGCAGGAAATAATAATAATCCTTGCTTTTGATATAATGCCTTATCACATCTTTGAGATGTCTCTAAGCGCTTCACAGAATATACTGTAAAGTGAATGACAATATATTATGTGGGTGAAGCGTGGCAGCCAAATGCACACAGCAGTGTCCCACAAGCAGCCGTGGATTGAAATGATATCAACAACGACAATATGACCTGGAAGTTGCCTATTTTAGTACAAAGGCAACCTGGAATGTAGGAAGCGAAAGAGATAGATGTGTGCACTTACAGCGAATAGGTCTATTGTACAACCATGTTCTAATCGATCTGCCGGGGCTGCACTGTAGTTTATAATAATAAAAATAATAATTCTTGCATTTGATATAGCGCTTTTCACGTCTTCTAGACGTCTCAAAGCTCTTCACAGAATGTATTGTAAAATGAATTGACTGTATATTTGTGGAGAAACTCAGCAGCCAAATGTACACAGCAGTGTCCCACAAACAGTCGTGGAGTGAATAATGTTTTTCTTTTTTTTCTTGAGGGATTATTATTAGGCGTGTGGAGTAAGGAAACTTGCCCAAGGTTTTGCCCTGCCAGGAATCGAACCCAGGTCTCTCACTTGCGAGGCGAGTGCTCTAACCACTACAGAACTCCGTTACAATCATAGTCATAGAAATTAACAGCTCAGAGGGAGTCTATTTAACCCATCGAGTCTGCACCAGCTCTTGAGAATACGGTGTTCTTTTCGACTCTGAGCTGTCGTTTCTCCCTCATATCTGCGCCACAACTGGCACCGCCTTCCATCACCTCCGAAACATCGCCAGACTACGGCACTACCTCACCCCTCACGCTGCTGAAACTCTGGTCCACGTCTTTATCACCTCAAGGCTGGACTATGGGAACTCTCTCCTCGCCGGCCTTCCCGGCACCTCCCTCCACAAGCTGCAGGTCATTCAGAACTCTGCAGCTCGTGTACTGTCCCGCACCAGGCTTCGGACCACATCACTCCCACCCTCGCTCGCCTCCACTGGCTCCCCATCCCCCAGAGGATCGAATTCAAGATCCTCATCCTCACCTACAAGGCCATTCACGGCCTCGCTCCCTCCTACCTCTCCGACCTACTATCCCCCTACTTACCCGCCCGTACCCTCCGTTCCTCTGGCTCCGGTCTGCTCCACGTCCCCCGCCCCAACCGCCCTACCATCGGTGGTCGGGCCTTCAGCCTCTCAGCCCCAGGCTCTGGAACTCCATCCCCCAGTGCCTTCGCCGCTTCCTCCCTTTCCTCCTTCAAGGCCGGTCTCAAGACCTTTCTCTTTGACCGTGCCTTCAGCTCCCCTCTCGACTCTCTACCCCCTCCTCACTCCCTCCCTTCCCTCCCCTCACCCTGACCATTTGCCCCCTCCTTGCTCCCTCCCTTCCCTCCCCTCACCCTGACCATTTGCCCCCTGCTTGGGACCCGACCCAACTGTCCAGCGCTTTGGGACGTCCTCCCGACTTGAAAGGCGCTCTAAATGAAATCTTGTTGTTGTTCTTTCAATCTTATCCTCACTTATCCCCAAACCCCTTCAAGCCTCAAACTGTCATATACCTGGTCTGCTTCCATCTTGAAACTCACAGTGAACTCTGCCTCTACTGTTTTACTTGGTACGGTATGAGGTATCCTCAACTGTTTACTGAATTAACTCACGGAGCCGTCTGGAGAATTTTGTAAATGTTTTATATCCTTGATAAACAATTGATTGTTGTATCCTTGATAGAGAGGGCACACAAACAGCTGGGGCCTTAAATTGTTTTAAACTGGATTTTATTAGTTGCAGGTATATCCTTGTGTTTGCTGTGCCTAATAGAATTCACAGTGGCAGCAGCTGTTTCCTTATGTGCAGGGGAAGAGATTTGTGTATTAAAGCAAAGAAAATCAATCTGTAATCAGTAGACCCTTTCTCCCCGAAGCTAGGCATATACTGTAACTTTTTTTGTTTGGGTGGAGGCTAGAAATAAATGTCTCAAATGTAATCTTTTATTTCAGGAATGGATAATAAAACACTTCTCCTAATGCAGTATGTGCCACAGTTTACTCTAAGGTTTCTGAGATAAATATATTCACATTGCTTTAGGATTGTCACACTATTTTCTGTCTTGTGTATCTAGATAGTTTTTTTATTATAATAATCCTTGCATTTGATATAGCGCTTTTTCACGTCTTCTAGATGTCTCAAAGCGCTTCACAGAATATACTGTTAAGTGAATTGACTGTATATTTGTGGGCGAAATGTGACAAGACAATTACGCGCAGCAGTGTCCCACAGACAGTCGTGGATTGAAGTGACCAAATTTTTCTTTTGAAGGACTTATTATCAGGCGCGTGAAGTAAGGAAATTTTCCCAAGGTTTCACCCTGCAGGGAATCGAACCCAGGTCTCTCACCTGCGAGGCAAGTGGTCTAACCACTGAGTTACAGGACTCCGCAAATTTTCCGGATCATCTATGTGTTTCCTATTTCTTTGATCCAATGCATTATTTTAGCTATTAAATCAAACCACATAGGTCCAGCATATTGGTAGGGAGGAGGGAAAGTGAAGAATAACTATTGCAATAATCCGTATTATAATCTCTTTGCTTTAACCAGGTGAAGGATTTTTTTAATATTACCTGTTCTTGTTTTGAGGGGATTATTCCTTATATTTGGAATTAAATTTACATCTCAGCTAAATAAAGCACAACAGCTTTCTATAGGAAAATATTGGGATCCTTTGACATAGAAAACCTTCTGTCTTGACATATGTTTTACTGAAACCTAAAGTATGCTGAATCTTTGCTAGACATGAGGCAGAACCTGAAGTCAATATATAACTTTTAAAGTACCTAATGACTTCTGTTGTGTAGTACTTACTATCTAGTAATTCACAAGCAGTGCTATTCTAGAAAGTCCCAAGGACTAGCCTATAAATTTGTCTATGTTGTTTGCAGTCATGGACAAATTATTCATTCCCAGGACTAAACGTTCTTCTATGTTTTTATACCTTCTTTCTTTCAGTTGCCAAATGGCGTGTCCTATCACACAGCTACCCACCAAGACAGACAAGGAAAGCTACAGGAACACCTTCGCCAGCTCTCTGTGCTCTTTAGGAAACTGCGGCTAGTTTATGATAAATGTAATGCAAAGTGTGCAGGCCTAGATCCTGTCCCAATGGAGGTAAGAGGGGTTTTTAATTTGTATTTTTTTATGGTCATCTGGGTGTCTGATACATGAGGAAACCTCCACTGTACTTAAAAGTATCCATACTGGACTGAGAGTTCCACATATACATCACCAACACGTGGAAATTTACCTGTGTATGGAATGTGTACTCTTCTGGAGGAATGCACACCGCTTACGTAAATCTGAGTGTTCCCAGGAGAGTTTTGCAAAAGCTAAGGCTTGGGGTTACCAATGTATGCGTTAAGGTACTGTTGAGATTAACCAACTAAAACCACGTAGATTGCCATTGAGAAAACAGTCTATCTTCCTTATGCTTGTCCAGCAAAGATCACCCTACCCATTAGGGATTTGCCTTGCAAGGTCAACAGGAGCTGAGTGGGAAGAATCCTTGCTTTCAGTTTGCTCCTCCAGTTCCTGACAATAAGCCAGACTGTCTGGTTTGTCATCAGCAATACCCTGGAGTAAGGACCTGCCTAATGGCTGATCGCCGCAGACGATTGACTCGATTCCAATATTCCTTTGCCAGCATGTCATCTTGGAGCCAGTTCAGCTCCAAAGAGATCCCGCTTAACTAACCCCAGGGCGCATACTTTAATTTGTAAAGTACACTTTATTTAGAGATTTAGAACAAATATCCTTCCACTTCCCACCCCATGCCACATGCATTGAAGTCTCAACATGCTGTGCTTCCAGCATTCTACCCTAAGTCTGATTGCAGATATTATTTTAAGAAAGAGACCAACTTTTCCTCGCCTCTAAAAGCTGTTGTAACAGTTCCAATATAGTTCTACCCTCAAGTACTTTTGCAACTGGCCATTCTTCTTTATATGTGATCCGGTGGAAGGAGCGTCAGGAAGTATATAATAATTGGGGAGAATAGAGAGAAGAGAAAGTTTCACAGCTAATTTTTGTTTCATACCATCAAGAATTAAAAAGATATAAGTACGTTTCTACATATTAGAATGATTTGGGTACCCTCTTTTACGTTAGACTCCTAAATATGATTAGCGCCTTGGACGTCCTCCCGACATGAAAGGTGCTATACAAATGTAATTTTGTTGTTGTTGTTTGTCTGCATAAGCAATTTACATTTTTTACTGGAAGTAGGATAACTAAGTTACTGTGCAAAATTTGTGTTCTAATAAATCCGGTTCATCCAGAGCTCTTATACTGTGGACCCAGGATCCCCAAACTGGAGGAGCTATCACATTACAAGCCTTTGTTGCTTTTACATTGTCTCCGCACATCTGGAGGGTGCTATTGGCAAATGACGCACATGATCATTCGTCATATGGTATTGTGTGAGCATAGGCAAAATGCCGGAAAATTATTTTTGGATCTCTTAATTTTATTCTTAGTTTTTATTCTTCATCACAGCAGACAGACAAAACCTAAGGTTCATTTCATTCAAAGGCCAGTGTGCTGGGGAAAGTACAGAATAGTAGTATCAAGCTCATGACCTGGATAATAACCAAACGCACTCAGTACAAGACACTGCATTGTTTATTCAAGTATTATTGTATGTCCATAGCAACTTATTCCTTATGTAGAAGAAGAAGGCACCAAGCACGAAGACCACAACTTGGCAAACCAACTCCGCTTAGCAAGTGAAGAGAGGCGAGAGATTGTGGCGGTAAACAAGGTACAGAAACACCTTTTTGTTTTTCTTGACAATTTGGTCTGAAGCACCAAACAGTGTGCACGTTATTTGTCATTAGTGTGTTGTGTTTGGCTGTGCTTTGATCCAATTCTCTTTGAAACAGTCAATATAATAATCCAGTTAAACATATTTTGGTGCATTATTGTGCTTATTAAGGTAAGAGGAAGCAGGTAGTGGAAAATAAAGAGTTTTCTGTATTGTGAATCTTGTACCAGGTACAAGTCAGAAGCAGAGTAAGTTGCCCAATAATATGTTTAAATTTTAAACTTAGAAGATCTCTGCCCAAACTGCACCAATAGACCATTTCCTGTTTCTACACCGGCCTTTGTTGTGGCCCTTATAAAAGAGGTTCCCTGTACACACACATCTCCTCTCCATCCAGTTGTTGCTTCTCACTCCTTGTTAGCCAATGTCATCAACATTCTCTTTTCCAGTGGGCTGGAAATATAGATCCTCAATGTGGAAAACTGTTTCATTTTCCATCACTCTTGCTTCAATGAGGGCTGCTCACCTTGTAAATCCTCTTCTGAAAAAAATACTTGTCTCCTCCAAACTCCGGTTACTGGCCTATCTGTAACCTGCTCTTCCGAGGTCCCAGAACAAGTTGTTGCATCCCAGCTTTGCTTCTTCCTCTTCCTGTTGATTCCCTCCAATTTGGATTTTGCTCCATCCACAGCATTGAGATAACACTGGTCAAACTCGCAAAGTATATCTCTCTGTCTGTGATCAAGTGTTCATGTGCTTCCTTGTTCTTCTTGATCTGTCTGTCACCTTCAACACCTTTTGAGCACTTCATCCTCCACCACACCTCTCTCACTTTCTCCCATCTCCCTCTCCCCCCCACCCGTCCATATTCCCTACAGCTCTGCTCTTTCCCAATTGTACTCCTTCCTGTGCCAGTGTTGTCACAATATTCTGGATATAGTCTGCTATTTAACTGCTTCTCTGGTCCCTGCATGGTCACATGCAGTTTTCTAAGGATTCTATCCTCATCTACGTTCCCCCTTGATGACATTATCACTCTACTCTGATTTCCTCTGACCCTACTCTTCCCACTATTCCCTCTGTTTTGTCAACTTTGGCCGGCTGCATGATCACCTGCCTGTCCTCATCTACAATTGGCGGGCGAGCTTTCAGCCACTTTGCTTATGCTCTCCAGAACTCTCTTCTTAAATCCTCTGTCTTGCCCTCTCCCCCTCTGTTGTTACAACCTACCTAAAGATCTATTTATTTGACTTTGCCTTCAGCCACAAAGCTACCAACACTCCCCGCCACTCCTCCTCCACTCATCTCAGCTCCTACTCAGTTTATGTGGAGCACTGGGATGTTCTCCCTAAGTGAAACGTGCTATATAAGTGCTATTTGTCATTGTGCAAGTTGTCATTGTCCAATTCCTTTGTGCCAAATTATTTTCTGCTTAGTGCAGTGGGGCTATTGAGCACTGTTTTGAGACTGTTCAAACTCATTCCACTTCAGAAGAGCTTCACTAGGGGGTATGGGGGTGCGGAGTATGAGAGACAGATTTTACAATTTCTCATTTTGGCGTGGATTCAAACCTTCTCCCAGTGTTTAAGGGTGGTGGTCTAGCCCATTTGAACATTACTAATGTTTATTAATATTTATTATTTGTGGAGTCCTGTAGCTCAGTGGTTAGAGCACTCGCTTTGCAAGTGAGAGACCTGAGTTCAATTCCAGGCAGGGCGAAACCTTGGGCAAGTTTCCTTACTCCACACGCCTAATAATAATCCCTCCAAAACTAAAAACAATAATTAAATTGGTCATTTTCAATCTACGACTGTTTGTGGGACATTGCTGTGCGCAATTGGCTGCCGCGTTCGCCCACAAATATACAGTCAATTCACTTTACAGTGTGTTCTGTGAAGCGCTTTGGGACGTCCTCCCGACGTGAAAAGCGCTATATCAAATGCAAGGATTATTATTATTATTATTATTAATAGCTTATTAAATAAGGAGCATCCTTATGGTCACAAAACTCCAATTGATGTTTTGAATTCATTTGAAGTTCAGATCAGTTCAAGATGCCGAATAATACACTATCTGCCAGTTCTAGCCATTCCATGTCATACCACCAACCATTTTTTTTCTTCCTCAGGAATTCACGATAAAATAAAGCAATAGTTATAAATCCTAAACTCGGTTATGAGTTGAAATAATTTCACTTTGCCGAGTATTACTGCTGATTATTTTTCTTCTTGTACAGAAAGGATAGTGTTTTCCTCTACAGAACTGAAACATCTCAATACCCTGCACAGCATGAGTTAGCTTGGACTGTGGTAACTGTTTGTGCAGGCAGCTAATCTACACGAGTTATATCCTATACATTGCAATTCACAAGATTAGTTTGGATCTAATCTCATTTTCTATAATACCCAACAGAGCATCCTCCCATTACACCAGGAAGCTGTATTTTTTTAAATGAGTCAAGTGTTCGGACCTCAACCACCCTTCCTGACAATCTGTTCCTGTTGTTATTTACCCTCTGGGTAAAGAAAATCCTCTGGTGTATGTTGTGAAATGCCCTTTTGAAACTGAACCTATTACTTTTGTTCTACTTTGTTGGCGCATCCTAAAAAGTCGGACATTACTATTGTTTATCAGTGTCTTATTAAACAAGTCTTTAAGCCGCTTTGTCAATCCCAGTTATAATTTTGTACATCTCTATAAGATCCCCTCAGAAATATCTTCTCTCAAGATTAAAGAGAATTATCTTAACTAATCATAGCTCATAATTAATTCCTCTTAACTCTGGAGATCCTAATTGATCTCTCCTGCATTGCCTCTAAGGCCTTTGCAGCCTCCTTATGTCACACCAACCAGGAATGCATGCAGTCTAGGTATGGCCTGGTCAGAGCTTTATACAGCTTGAGTATGATGTCTGGGGATCTGAAATCTACTGCTCCAGACTCAAGATACTGATACTATTTATTTCAGAGTTATACGTTTTAATGTAAGTGAGATATTCTGATATTAATCAAGAGTAAAAGCATTTATAGTGACAGCAAGTGTGCTTTCATAGAGATATAGCCTTGTTTAACTCCAACAAGAACATTTACCTGTTTTATTTTCCCCTCCAGTTTTTCATCCGTCCTTTACTGAATTTATACGGTTCCTCTAATACCTCACCCAAGTGATCAATAAGCCATAAACTTTAGTAGGCTATTTGCCCACTCAGCCAGTAGCTGAGTTTAGTTCTGCATGGTGATCAAATTATGAAACCATGGCTGATTTGTTTCTTGCTCCCAAATCTAGGAACCCTAGGGTAGTCATATGATTCCTACTTCTCTTCTAGTTGAAATCAGCACATGTCAGAGAGATTGAACCTCGGACCTTTCAGATCTGTTTGACATTGTCTATATTGGTTAGAGCACTCGCTTTGCAAGCGAGAGACCTGAGTTCAATTCCAGGCAGAGGGCGAAACCTTGGGCAAGTTTCCTTACTCCACACAGAGCCTAATAATAATCCCTCCAAAACCAAAAACAATAATAAATTGGTCATTTTCAATCTACGACTGTTTGTGGGACATTGCTGTGCGCAATTGGCTGCCGCGTTCGCCCACAAATATACAGTCAATTCACTTTACAGTATATTCTGTGAAGCGCTTTGGGACGTCCTCCCGACGTGAAAAGCGCTATATCAAATGCAAGGATTATTATTATTATTATTATTATTATTGGAGTTTCTTATGTAATTGAGCAACAGTTTTTTTTAAAACCGATTCTTATATGAAGCTGCAGTTAAAATTTTTCAGAAACGTCTGTAGGTTAAGCATTTGTTCATGTCTCTAGATGTTGTAATCCATCATTCTGAGTTAATGGCATTCCAGGAATTGCAGACCACTGACCAAAGATTTCCAAACAGGGAGATTGTGCCGAGGTAGTTATTACCTCTTTCTGCCCTGTACCATGACCCCAAACCTTACCAGTTTACATCTACTGCTTGTAGGGCTGGCTCTGTAGAGTTCATGTAGTTTTTGTGTTCACTAAAGGTATGAACAGCACGAAAAGGTGAACAAGGAGCCACTCTAGCTTGTAATGAAACATGCCACCTTTCTCTTCGTCGAAATAATTTTTGCAATTACCTAAGGCTTCGAAGCTGGGGAGCTTTGTAAGTGATGGAGAAGGGAAGATATCTAATTTGCAGTATTAAAATGATTTATAAATATGCAATGACTTTAGCCGAACTGCTTGAAATCCATTTGGATGATAATCTCATTTCTGACAAACGTGAAACTTGTGTACATGCAAGATTACATACTTATGATTGACCATATATTAGAGCCCATTATATCGCTGAATTTTCTTTGGCGCTTGTGTTTTTTACATGCCGCTATAAATTTTCTCTCCCCTTGAAGGTTTTGGGCTACTGTTATTTTTAAAATATAAATAATAAAGCAGGCTTGATTGAAGCCTAGTTATTGTTCCTATGTTCTGCACTATACAGCGAATTATAGCTGAGTTGCAATATCAGGAAACACTCAAATTATCTTTATAATAAATAATCCTTGCAATTGATATCACACTTTTCACATCTTCTAGATGTCTCAAAGTACTTTAAAGAATATATTATAAAGTGAATTGACTTTATTTGTTGGCGAAACGCGGCAGCCAATTGCGCACAGCAGTGTCCCGCAAACAGTCCTGGGTTGAGTCACCAAATTTTTTTTTCTTGAGGAATTATTATCAGGCATGTAGAGTAAGGAAACTTGCCCACGGTTTCGCCTAGTCCGAAATTGAACCCAGGTCTCTCGCTTGCAAGGCGAGTGCTCTAACCACTGAGCTGCAGGACTTTCAAAGAAATCTTTACATAAAAAGTTTTGAAATAAAGGGGAGCTCTTTCGCATTGAGTGGAATTCCGTTTAGAACGTGGGTTTGCTTATTGGGGTTTCAACCCGACATTAAATTACCCATAAAATGTGGGTCCATTCCATCGCTGCACTGCTCCATCAGGTGCACAGAAAGATTGAACGCTATCCATTACAGAGAAGCCAAAATGACCAACTTCCAGTCATCAGATTGTCACCAGTGTCACTTCCTGCGCTGTTCATGCATGGCACACAACAAATGTCTAGTGACCCAATATCTTGAAAGCTAGCCATTTTGTCTTTTCCTGTGCCAACCAGCATTTCATCTTTATACACCTTAAGTAATGAATTTCCAGTCCCTTCGCATGTTCTCCTGACGTGAAAGGCGCTATACAAATGTAATTTTGTATTATATTGTATTGAGAATCACTCGGAAGCATGTAGAAGAGCGGACAGGCACTCAGTGCCCTTCTTGGTTGCGATTTAATAGACTCCCAACGACTGCATTATAATGGAGCTCCACTGTACATAGCTTTTCCTATAAACAAGGTTGAAACATCAGATGCTGAGATGAGTTTCAAGGATCCTCTCAACGTGAGGATTCTTGCTATAATATATCTGAGTTGCCTTTGTTTTCTTCTATAGCTAGAGGGAGCACTTTGTACAAAAAAACCTCCTAGACATTCTTTGTCCTACCTTAACCAGCTTCTCTACATCATAAGACACAAAAGTAAATGGGTGGGTGGGATGTAGGGGAGGTTCGAAGGAAGGAAAAATAAATTTTGCTCTGCTCTCTTTCAGTAGACAGCATTGCCTCTTGTTTCCTGCAATGCGCCAGATCCCAGTTACATATCATCAGTTGCCAGCCTAGTCCCTTCATAGTTGCAGACTGTGCGCAAAAGAAGTACAAGTCTAAGCAGCATTCCTGTTGCAGAAATGTTTTGATGTTGAAGATTTAAAAGTTCCTCGTCTTTCCAGATCTTGATAAGTGTCCTATGCAGGAATCTGGAGAGTGTTTATGGATGTCTGTAACATTTTGAAGCTGGCTTGAACACCATTTGTTAGTAATGCATCCAACTGAAATGCTACAGCAGTAAATAGTTTCAGTTCTAAAAAGAAACAAACGCTCTGATAACATCGGGCTGGCCAGAGAGTGTAATCACTGGAAGACAGATGAGCTGATTCAGATCAGCCTGAAGAACTGCTGTTGTCTTCCATTTTGTGATGAAACGTCTGAAAGCAATTGTGAAGCCTGGCAGTTTTAATAATACAACCTGCACAGATTTGTTTTAAGGAATGGTTGAACATTCAGTTAGAGATAAACTTGAAGTACTATCTGTTTCAGACTAATTAGGTGTCAAAAGTCCTACAAAACTTTTTTTAATGAAATCCACTTATTTGATTATCTAGAATTGTTTCTCTCAGTGTAGCACGTTTTAATCCCAAGCTGCGCTGAGTTACTTGGTCTCAACTGGGGCAGAAGGTCGACACTTGAATTGATCAATGCATCTGCTTTATGGACGGGAAAATCGAAGTCACACAGTTTACAAAGTATTTAATTACTTCATACAATAATAAACACTCAAGTAATTACACTAGAGGGTGGTACTGGACATACAGACTAGGAGATTCACTGGCTTAGTGATCACTTGACAGATCTCAGCAAGGATGACAGTGTTCTAGTTGGCATTGGTATCCCTGTGGTAGCGAAGTGGGTAAATGGGGAGGAGGGGGAAGAGGTTAGAAAGAAGGAAGGAAAAATACATTTTGTTTGGTCTCCTTTCAATAGTCAGCATTGCTCTTGTTTTCTGCAATCTGCCAGATTCCAGTCAGGTCATCTTTTAGGAAGAGCAAATTAGTTGAAGTTCTTTCTACAAAGTTGAAAGTGCATCCATCCACCCTGGACTGGCTTCACAAACTAATATGGAAGTTGATGCCTCAAACTTGTCTGGAAGACAATATGGGCCTCAGCATCTCTCCAGTAAGGATGGGAAAATCAGCGAAGGTTCACTCTTAATTGCATCAGGAGACTGCTGGAAAGTGTATGTGAAAATATGGATGGTTTCCAGCTTCCATATAGCAGTCAATCTGCCAACACTCACGTTTAAGGTCCCATTCCAGGAAACTTCTCTCATTGTGGGTCCCTCAGTTTGTCATTCCAATCAGACCAAAGAGCTGCATTTTTGCGGATGGTATGTAGAGGTGCTTCACGTGCTCACAAGCCTCTGTGTACCTCACTCAATTGACCATTCTACATTTCTGAGCTTAGGCAGTGAGTATTGGAGTACTTGAGCACAGGGTCATATCTTTCACACACCATAGATGTACTCTCATCCCCAGAATGTGAGTTTTTTTTAATAAGAAAAACATTACTTCTAATTTTAATATCATTTCTCATTTCAATGTGACTAACACTGATAAATTACCACTCAAAATCACTGTGTAAATAATGTGGGCGTTCATCCACAAATCTAAATAATTGATTTGAAGTAATGCTATTAATATATCATTTCCGTTTTAATTTTTCTTCCTGTCTCTAATATATTAATGTGTTTTAGAGCCTCAGTAACATTGGCTGTATCACAGCCTTGAAGTCTGTTAGCTTCATTTTACACCTTGATTCATTGCTGAAATTGCACTAAATGGATGTTAAAAACACAATATGGAACTTTTTTGTGATCGGGATACAAATTGTTTTAGAGACCACCTGGCTAATCTACCTTCTCAATGTATCTGTTAAGAAAGTAGATTTTCTTATTCTTGCATCCTACCCAGGCATGCAATCATCTGGCATTTTGACTGCGTTTTCTGGACAATACCTACAAGCTTCTCTTTTCAACATTTTCTTTGTGCTCATGTTACCAGTGTTTCTGCTGTTGTCATGATTTGTAATTTAAAGAGCAATTTGACACCCTAACCAGCTGGGCATTTCTTAAAGAGCACTTTCTTATTAACCCCATGACTGCCAGGATTTCCATTGATGACTTTCATTAAGTGACCAATGGTGCTAGAAAGTAAATATATGCACCTCTATGGCTGATGGGCTCTATATTTTTAGCTCATATATTGTTGGGGTGTTAAAACAATACCACTATTATTACAGTAATAAAGTTTCATTCTACAATATTTTTTCATACATATTTTCGCTGTCCTTTTTCCCAATTTTAAATTTTGCTTTATTATCTATTTTAATTTTTTTGAATTATCTTTAATTTTACTTTTACCAGAATTCATAACTCTCACCTTCTGTTTTGCTGAAAGCCAGAGGGTGCGTGTCGGGTAAAACCTGGGCAAAGAATTGAGCTCAATTGCAGTGCACCCCCACACACGCCTTGCCGTATGGTTGAATAGCCTGCAGATACTCGTCAACCCTCGTAAATGAATAATATTATTAATACTTGCATTTGATATAGCGCCATAAGGGCTTTTGTGCTTAGTAGCAAATAATAAGCCTTGCATTTGTCATAAATATCTCAGGTGCTTTAGAAGAATTATTTTGAAGGTAGTAACTGTGTATTTGTAGGCAAAGGCGGCAGCCAATTTGCACAGAGCAATGTCCCACAAACAACCACAGAGTGAATGACCAATTTAACTGGGCAACTATTAGCCCTTCTCTTTTCAAATAGCGTCACAGGATCTTTAACAGGCAGACAGGTGTCCTGGTCCCTCAAATAAAATTGATCATTTACTTCATGGCTGTTTGTGGGACGTGGATGGACATAGCAATTTGAGTCCAGCAATGTCCCAACACTGCTGGACTCAAATTGCTAAGTCCATCCACAAATACACAGTCACTGCACTTCACAGTAAATCATATGAAGCGCTTTAGGAAATCCTCCTAAATTGAAAGGAACTATACCAAATGCTAGGATTATTGTTAAATACACAGTCACTACTCATTACATAAATTGTCTGTGAAGCATGTTTGAGACGTTTGATGTTGTTAGGGCTATAGTAAATACTAAACAATCCTTCCATTTGATATAGTGCCTTATCACATTGCCAAAACATCTCAAAGTGCTTCACAGGACTTTACTGTTATTAGTAAGTAAATGTGGGAGCCACAGCAGTGTCCCACAAACAAACAGCCATGAAGTGAATAACCGATTTTATCTGGAAGATTTTTAGCCGGGATCTTTATCATCCACCTGAACAGGGAGATGGGACGTAGGCTTAATGTTTCGTCTGAAGGCCAGTACCGCCAACAATGCAATGATTTCCCAGCATTACATTGGAGTGTCAGCCTAGACTGAGCTCCAAGTCCTGATGTGGGACTTGAACACAACTTTCTGATTTGGAGGCAAGATTGCTACCATTGAGCTGACATGAAATGCAAGCGTTATTATTTTGACTTCGTAGTTTAGCTATTTGTGTTTTTCCCTGTGGCCAATTTACTCATCCACGTATTGCTCTTGATGCCCAGTGACATTGATTTGTAAATGAGTCTCTTGATTAGAATTGTCCCTTCTAAATTCTGTCTTGGAAGACTAGATAAATCACTTCAAATGCATTCCACTATTAAATGGGATATCATCTCTTCAAGAAAAAGGGTTAGGAAGTTGGTCAAACAAGATCTATCTTTTTGAAGCTGGCTTGGCTGTCATTTATTAGATGACATGTATTTGCATGGAATGAGCAAAAACATGAAAAGAAAAAAGTAGTCTCTTGATGATAGATTTTCCCTGAACACTTTGCATTTCCTTCCTTTGCAGAAACTTCAACAGAAGAATCACCAGCTGAAGCAAACCATGGATCAGCTGCGGAATCTGATTTGGGAGATCAATGCAATGCTAGCAATGAGAAATTGAGTCTGAGTTACTCAAATTGTTGGTATCCTGACAGAATGTCAACAGTGACTTTTTATGCACACTTATTGGTAATCAGCCAAATAAGAGCATCAGGGTAATAACCACCAAACAAAGCCGATGACTCGAGTGCAGTTTTAAATCGGTTTACAAAACAAAGTGTGCCTTGATGATATGCACAAATACACCTCTCCAAAGCTGAAGCTCACTTTGTGACAACATATTAATTTAGTAGCATTGCATTTAATGTACTTCTGTAGGAAATAGCTTGTTCACATTGGCACAGTATGCATTAAGCAGATCTATGTGTTTTCTTTCCATGTAAACAGAATCTATGTCTGCTATGTTCCCTGTTTACACTGAAAACCTGCAGTGTCCACTCTGTAATGTGAACTTGTTTCACAACATCTCCAAATAATAGTGGAAGTCAGAGAAGTACTGACTTAAATACAAGCTTAGATTTCCCGATTCCTAGAATTGGAAAGTTACTGTTCCAGTCATAAGAGAAATTCAGTCATAGAGAAATTCTGAACCAAACCAAGAATTTGGGGGAAAATTTACTTTTGTGTTTATCACAACTCCTAACTTTATATCTTTATTTTAAATTTTATATATTACATTTACAGGGTACTGCAAACATATTCTAGGTAATTGAAATGTAGTGTATAAAGAAAATGTTGGGGAATTGCAATGAGAAATATCAGATGTAATATTTTTGGTGATTATTAATAGGGAGTGGATATTGATTCCAAGCTGCATTTTAATCAAGTAGCTCAGGTCACCCCACGAACCACCAGAACAAACGTTTAGTGGTTCGTAAGTCCTTTGAACCTGGCTGTTAGATTCTCTCTCTGACATATGCTATCTTTTATAATATATTTGTTATAATTTTAAACAGGGTTATTGTTCCATTTTGACTGTGCAGTGGCTCCTTGTCTTGGGTGTCAAATATCTCCACCAACGCTGGCTATCCTCACAAAGGTGAGTGGCTATTGCCGCCTTGGCACTGGATGTCCCAGCCTTGGTGCTGGATATCCCCACACTGGCATCCACAAGCCTCATGCTATCACCAGCTATCCCCGCGCTAGTGCCGATTCCCCATACTGATGGCGGTTCCACGTTGGTACTGCATATCTGCACATTCCATTGCAATGATCTCAAAGAAAGATTACCACCTTGGTGATCATTGTGATATTTTAGCAAAATAATAATCCAGAGGTGATTTATTGAAATATTCTTATATCCAATGTATATTTTGTTATATTTATACCACAAGAGAAACTATGTTATAAGATCAGCGCTTTTGAGTTCTCACAAGAACTTGTCGATCAACACATCTTTTCATCTAAGCTCTGTGGAAAATGTTTGTACATTTCTATCATTAAATATTCCAAAGTAAAATTATAGAAATGCAAAAAGCATGTTTTTGATTCATGATATGCTTTAAATAAGCATTAAAAAAAACCTATCCTCCTTCAATGTAGGAGTGGCCATGCAATATTCCAAAAAGTTCATTTGATGTTGTATTTCAAACACTCTCATTGGCATCATGAAGTGCCTTCAGAATGTATTTAAAATCTTTCTGATATTAGGGAATTATAAAGTCTTTCTCGCTAATTAAGTATAAATGAGTATTTCAAAGTTATACATTAAGTATTGGTGGTTTTCTAATTGTGAAATTTGACTGAGGGATAAGAATATCTGATTCCCACTGTTTGGGAAATTTACCAATTGCCCCAATTCTGTTCCACCAGTACAGCTTTAGGACTTGTGATATAAAGTGCAATGATTAATGCACAGTTTTGGACGACAACTGTGAATTCAGATCTGCTTCACTACTGGCTGCTCACCAGCTATGAGTAACACCGTTCAGATTTGGTTGCTGCTCAGACATTGATTTTAAATTGATTTGTATGATTTGAATTGTTCTTTCCAGCCTAATGTTATAGCATACTGAAATGGTGTTCTTTCTTCAGTCATTTTATATGGTCTGCACACATGGAAATGAGCTATGACATAAAGATGAGTATTGGTATCGTAAGCAGATTGGAGGTGGGAAAGAATATGTGCCTAGGTTACTGTATATTACCCTTTTGCCTTTAGAGGACTTTTATTGTAATGATTTTTAAGTCCACTTATTTTGGAGGTACATTATTACACAGTGGCAGGTTTGAAGTTCATATGCAGTGAAGCATTGACTCAGTAATTGTTTCATGCATTCCTGTCTTGATTGCTTCACGTAGCAGTGGTAAAAGTTTTGATTGAAATAGGCTGCCTGGCATACATGGCCACTCTCTGGCATTTGAAATTGTTCTCTTTACTGCAAAAGGAATAACTCTTAATGTACTTATTTTTTTAAATCTTTATCCTGCTGGAGTTCAGACTTTAATGCTCTTGAAGAAATTAGACTCAATTAAAGTAAATATATTGCAAGGCTGTTGTGTTTTTTTCAAACAAGCTTATTCATTTCACCCACTTGCATTTCAAATTTAGCTGGTTCTTCTAGGTTTAATGTGCACCTTTGATTGTAATCGTTGATCAGAGAAGGAAGCCATTCAACCCACCAAGCTTTTGCTGGTGCTAACTCCTTCACTGCAGCTATATACTCTGAGTTTCAACTTCCTGCTCTTTTTCTTCAGCATTTTATATTGTTTTCCATCAAATAGTTATCCAATTCCCTTTTAAATGTTATGAACTCAGCTTCAATAGCAACTTATGCCAAAGCATTCCATGTAATAATAACCCTCTGCTTGAAAAAATTTCCTCCTGTTAACTCTTTCATTGACAATCCTGAATTAATGTCTTCTTGGTACTGTTTCATTAACCTGAGTAAAATAATCATGCTATTGATCCTCTCAAAATCTTCCAGAATTCTAAAAAATTCTGTTAAGATGCCTACTGCCTCTGCTCTCTGGAACGTATCCCGGAGTGCCTCCGACTCACTCCCTCCCTCCCTCACCTCAATCAAGGTCCATCTCAAAGTACCTCCTCTTTGACCACACTTTCAGTCAAGTTTCACCTCCCCACCTTCTCGGCTCAAATGCCCAGTTCGGGTGCCCAGCCAGTCGTGTCAAATGCTTTGGGATGTCTTCCTGCGGTGAAAGGCACTATATAAATGTAAATTTTGAATTGAAATTTGTATTAAACTCTGTTCCAGTGAAACAGATACAATTTTTCAAATCTATTTTCACAGATCTAAAAAATCTACACAAATCCCATTCCCCTGCTCTTTTGCCATACCCTCCAATATTTTTCTTTATGTATTTATCCAATTCCCCTTTAAATTGTGGTATGGACTTCAACGTTTGTGATGAAGCATTAATTATTGTAACAATACTCTGTGTTAGACTCACTGATCAGTGGCAAGATTCTTTCACAATTTACCCTATCAAAACTAATCAAAATTTTGAAGGCTACAAAAATCCCTCAACACAGTTTTTCAACTCTCAATAACTATAACTTCTCACCTCTGAAGTTTGATAAGTTTCATTGTTGCAGTATTTTTAAGTTATGATCACTGTTTCTTGAGTTTAACTGCCACCTGGTATACAAGGCTCATTTTTGCTGCTTACGGTGTCTGCAGCTAATTTGCAAGCGTAATGTGTGCTGGAATCTTAGAATTTCATCTAATTAATTTTATCCTTATGCAGAAATTGTCAATAGAGAGCGGAATACAATGACATTTTTACACAGTACCTCAGTCTGTCCATCTAAAACCAAAGACATTATTGAACTGGATAGTTGAGTACGAGCAGGGAAAGTGCATAATATAATATTCTTCTCCTTTATGACGATCTAAGTAATTTGAAATTTGAGTGCAAGGACATGCTGAATTTGTTAATTTTCTTTCAGTAGTCAAACCTGGATATCTGTGAACAAGACTGATTAAATTATTATTTTTAAAGTACTAGGAATCGCTCCCTATCATATGTATCTACTCAGAATCAGGCAGCAGTTCCACATTTTTGTCTTTCTTTGTTACCAGGTTTCATGATCTCTGTGACCAGGAGTTCAGAGTGAAGCTCCCAAAGAGTGCCTCAACTCCTCTCCAATTTCAGAAGAATACACTCTCCTCCTTAGTTGGATCATTCCATTTCTTATATAAGCTATCCTTTTGACTCTTGGGTAGACTACCAGTTTCATACTAAATTGTGTTCCTTTTTACATTGTAGATTGTGGTTATTTACAGCCATGCAAAGGAGAGTCCTGAACTCACTTATATAGTTAATGCTTTGTACAAAAACCATTCACTATTTTTACATTCTACTCATTAAATCAAGCACTATGCAGAAAATACGTACTTGAAGGATACCTGCTAAAATCTATTTTTAAAAATGTCAGGTTTAGGATTCTGAGTAATGCAGTGGACAACCAACCACATTTTCTTTTACAGGACTTCAGCTTGATTCCAAACCAGACAGGATCAGAGCCTTTGTAAATGTGCAATGAGTCTGTGCAGTTTCAACCCAGGTATTAGTGGGTGTGAGTTCACAGTACAAGTTGCCTCCAATTTGGTACTAAATTAACAACCAAACTGAGGGGTCACAAGGACAGCTGCAGTGGGAAATGTCACATTGGTGAAGCACGAGGTGTTTTTTTCTGAAACGAATTCAGCAGAGAGAATTTTGCCTCAAAACCATGATATAACTGAATCAGGACTATTTACTGCAGATGTAACTTGTGTTGTTAGTGTCAACATTCACAGAAAAGGATGTTTCAAAGTAATGATCCATCTCAGAATTCTTTGGCTTTGTGCAACTTGCTGGATTTTTTTCAAATTAGCATCAAGACAGGAAGTTATATTTAAAGGGGTAGAATACTGTAGAGGTCAACTTTTTGAGAGTTCATAGAAGTCAGATTATATTCTGATGAAATCTGCTGCTTGTTTGATTGACTCATTTGTACTAATTGGGTTCATATAGACCATTATATTGGGAGCGAAATAGATCTGCACAGCCCATAGCCGTAGTACTTTCTATTCCAGCTGAGATTGTAGAATAATAGCTGTGAATTTCAAGCTGTTCAGTTGTCTTGTATGAACATGCTGATCGAGGGAGAATCTAGGCCACAATGAGCAAGACTTTGATTAGCCTACATGGTTTGAACAGGATGAAAGAGCCGTGCAGGAAGATGCTTAGAACAATGAGCAAACCAAAGACTTGTTATATGATTTAAATCCCTTTTTTCAAAATGCTTTGATTTTTCTTTTTATAATCTCTTGCCATAAGGGAAAATATGGCTTGAATTACTGCATTTAAATGTACGGCTTCTTCTGTGTGTCCACTAAGTGAAAATGAGATTCAGCGGCGTAACAAAAATAGTGCCAGTTTCATTCATCAGGAGGACGCCAATAGATTCAGAAGCTGGTCAAGGAGGGTTAAAATACATCCATTTGGTGGTGGGGGATATTTTACGTACTTTTGTTTGTTAGAAACACGATTTGACTGGAATGCTGCACTGCAGTTTTAGCTTGGCCATAGATGTCGTATTTTAAGATTAAATGTGTATTTTGTGAAGCTGAAGGTCTCTGCTTAGGTAACTGATCAGCACAGTTTGGCTGTTGCACCCTGATCAAAAACTTCAGAACAGTAGAGGCAGCTGAATTACCTCTAGATTGTGGACGTGCAGCTTGTGTGTCTGCATTGTGAATGTTTTCGCGTACAGTCATAATTCATTTGTACAAACAAATCTGTTTTCAGGTGTACCTTTTATTTTGTCAAATTGCACATGTATAGTGGACACCTCAAAATCTCTTCAAGGCATTGTGAGCCTCTACTGTGACTCCTTGGTAATGCTGTATATGCTAGAAGTATATTTGTATTTTATTTTCAAATTCCATTTAGAAATTAATATTAAATCTGAAGAAAAATAGCTCACTTTTTGGTGACTACAAGGTACAAATGTGTATCTGCACAGAGAATTCTCACCATGGGAAATCCTGCTGAAACTTATTCATTGAGGTGATGATGCCAAGTGATTGAACTATTAAATGGATATGGAATGCTAAGTTTTACAATTTATATTGAAGTATCTTGGTTTTGTTTGTGTTTTAGTAACAAACTCCAGAGAAACACTTTGTAGCTTGAAATGTATTTCCGAGTGGAATAATTTCTATTTCCTTTAAATATGCAAATAAAGAAAACTGGAATGCACGTGTTGCCCTCTGTGTTGACTTGATTTGCGCCATAGCTCAGCACTGAATTAAATTCTCTACACAGTATAGCGGAGCTTCCGAGTGTTCTGCAGGGAAATCAAAGTTTTTTTCCCCTTCTATTTTCCCCTTCCCCTCTTGTATACTGTCAGCGTATAAGACCTTTTTCCTTCTATAATAATAATAATCCTTGCATTTGATATAGCGCTTTTCACGTCTAGATGTCTCAAAGCGCTTCACAGAATAGACTGTAAAGTGAATTGACTGTATATTTGTGGGCAAAACGAGGCAGCCAATTGCGCACAGCAGTGTCCCACAAACATTTGTAGATTGAAGTGACCAATTTTTTTTCTTGAGGGATTATTATTAGGCGTGTGGAGTAAGGAAACCCAAGGTTTCGCCCTGCTGGGAATCAAACCCAGGTCTCTCGCTTGAGATGCAAGTGCTCTAAACCACTGAGCTACAGGACGTCACAAATATTCTGAGGAATTCTACAATAGGCACAAAAAAGATCTTTTCTCTGTCCCAAAAGTCGATGGACGCACCTCTGATAATTCAGCACTCACTAGACATTTCACTGGACTGTCAGTCTAGACTATTAATCTCAAGACCCAATTTTGGGCTTTGAGCTCACAACCTTCTAACCCAGAAGTGAGGGAGGAGCAATTCCAACTGACCCACACTGACATCCTAAAATACTAGAAAATCAGCACTATTTAACATTCCATTAGAGCGTAATCTTAACCAAAGCAGTTTGGGGGGCTAATGTTGCATGAGCAACAGGCACCTCCTCAAACATTGCCTAAATTGCTGTTGTTATTGTGCCAGCTGTAACCGTGAGCGTTGCCCAGGAATTGAACCTGAGCCCTCTCACTTGCGAGGCGAGTGCTCTAACCATGTAAACTACAGAATTCCCCAAGATGGAAAGTCTGTCTGATTTCCCTCTCCCGCCCAAGGGATCAAGGCTAATCGTAGTGTCCTTACTACAGCCCCAGCTTAGATCAGTTTACTCAGTACAGACTGCAGATTAAAACCTGGAACCTTTCAGTCTGTATGATCCACTGCTACACCATGCAGTGGCTTTACCCGCTAGGCTTTTGAGGGGAGCTACATGTTCCATGTTTAATTTAACTCTCAGTTGCAATAACATTTTCTAATATAATGTTATAAATATTCTAGCTGAATTATAGTGGTTTTAAAATATTCAGTGATACCTCTTGGAGGTATGTCAGTAATTGATTGCAGTTTGATTATTAATGGGGAAACTTCTAGGTTCAGCATC